CAACACTGCCAGTGTATCCTCAGGATGGATATAGGGTCAACAACTAGTCACTCGAAGTATATGGGGTCCACTAGCATCCGTAGGATAGGTATGGGGTCCACTACCACCTATAGGATGTTAATGGGGTCCACTGTTGGATGAGTATGGGGTCCATTATCGCCGACAGAATGGGTATGGGATCCATTACCGCCCACCTGTGTGCGGTAGGGGACCCCATACCAATCTTTTGGATGGTAGAGGGGACCCCATACTTAACCAATGGGAGGATTTGTAGGCCCCATACCCATCCTACCGGTGGTAGAGGACCCCCCCTTACCCATCTTGTGAATGGTAGTGGACCCCCTACGCATATTTCTCCTTTAGAAACTTGTGTCAGTAATCATTCAGAACCTTGTATACCTCATATGTCAGATCAATACTGGAATATGCGGTTCTAGCCCGGAGTCCACATCTAGTCAAACACAAAACGAAGCTAGAAAAGGTTCAGAGTATGCCACCAGGCTAGTCCCCGAGCTGAGAGTTATGAGCTACGAGGAAAGATTACTAGAACTGAACCTCACGACACTTGAAGACAGAAAATTTAGGAGAGACATGATCACTATCTATAAAATTCTCTGACGAATTGACAGGGTAGATAAACTGTTTAGCACGGGCGAGACACAAACAAGGGAACACAGGTGAAAACCGCCCAAATGAGCCTCGGGGACGTTAGAAAGAATTTATTCACTGTCAGTAGTTAACAGATGGAATGCATTAGGCAGTGATGTGGTGGAGGCTGACTCCATACACAGTTTCAAGTGTAGATATGATAGAGCCCAGTAGGATCAGGAATCCGTAAACCAGTTGTTTGACAGATGAGAGACGGGACCAAAGAGCCAAAGCTCAACCCACATAAGCACAACTAGGCGAGTACACCAGAAGTGGGAATGGAAAAATGCAATTATCGTTCAAATTTGAGCAATCAACGTATTCTGCTGTCCACGGCGATGGAACGGATACTACTGGACGCGAGGAAGGGTTGGTGCCTGGAGTTGGTGGTGTAAGTAATTATCAAAATGCGGCACCAAACCGGGAAGGCTATGTAGCACCATCAAATGACGGAATTATCAGAGGGCGCTAAATATCACCAAGAATTCTGGTGGTGTAGTAGAGCAGCAGGCAATAATAATAGTAATTTGTATGGTCACGTATGTGCTAATACTAGACCAATGTGCCTGATGGGGCCCGCTATACAAGGTGGTCTTTATTGAAACTTCAGACTGAGAATTATTATATTTTCTAGTTATTTTCTTAATATCTTGTTTTCTACTTGCAATGTATCAGGTCATCAGATGATTAAGGAAAATAAAATGCTACTGGAGTAGATGATCGTGTATTGGAGTACAGTATCACAGGCAGGACAGACGGGAGAGTCGTGAAGACAATGAGGACTCCGGTGCCATTACCTCATAACACCTGGGGACACCAGCGTTAGCACTCGCGTCCTGAGGGACATGCCGCTGTCTGCTGCTTTAAGCACACGACCCATCCCTACACACACACCACTCACCCCTGCACCCCAGTCTATATCACATGCTGGGATCCCACAGTTTTAACACCGTTAACTTATTCCCTGGTGTTACTCGACCCCATGCTACTGGCTAGGGGACACCGACAGTGTTGTCGCGTGGTGCAGATGTGTCTGGTGGAAGGGTGGAGCAGCAGGCACAATGGCCTTACCCTGAGCTCGCTGGCCGTCACACTCACGGTCTAGGATGTTGATCTCACCGAGGACATCACACGTCACACTCGTAGCCAAGGGTGTTGCATTTGTGACTCGTCACAAATGCAGCCAAAGGTGGGTTTATGGCCAACGGAATCATGCGCGAGGCCAAGGGTTATCACCTCTAGCACAAGCATGATGCCCATTCCCCGTCCTACCCCTCCTTTGTAACTGCAGCCAGTTACAGAGGAGGGGGCTAGGAGGCTGAGAGGAAGGATGGTCACCAAGTTTCCTCTCTTCAACATGACTTGGCTCACAGACTGGTTGATCACTGGCTTGCCATTATAGTATAAAAATTCAGAGATCACTGAAGGTATTACAAATCTTTCATTATCGTTCCAATAAACGCAAAATTAAACAACAATGAAAAACTGCCATCTACAAAGTTCATGCACAGCAATGGCTACGACTTTACTCAGATTTTATATACAACATAATCTTATATATTTATTTATATAAATGAAAATATTTTACAAAAAATCACAACCTGTTTTAAACAGGGATCACAATAAAACTTACAATAACTTAAAAATTTCATTATTCTCTTTCCGGTCTTTACCATCATGATATGGTTACAGGACAAATAAGGCAGACACAGGAGGAGAATAGACCATGATAATAGAGCTCAACATGGTAAGTCAAAATGACTGTAGTACTTAATGTTAATAACCATGGTGCCCACCAATGTTATATAGACCATGGATGATGGAAATATTAGAGGTTTGCATCTTAACCGAGGCAGGGAGGGCTCGAGTACTGTATGTGGAAGCCACACACCATAACGGTAGTACAATGGAACAAGAGACGCATGCAGACCTCTACCTTCAATTCCAAGTCCCTATGAAGGCTAAGTAACGGAGAAAAAAAAAACTACTACTTTCTAAAGTAACCCAGAACCTCTGACATCCAAGCTTCCCGTGACAACAGCCTAATGACATATATAATCCTGTAAGTATCCCGTTGAGGTGATGCCATATATAGCAACTTAAATCAGGGCAAACCAGAGGGCTGCACTCAAATTATTCCAGGTCTCCCTACACACACCACCCATGGCTGACACCTGCGTAAGTAAAAGTGTGTTCATAGTAAGGAACAACATCCTCCTGTGTAAATAGTACTTTAGTTAACCATGTGGGGCCATTGTACATATATTGACGTAATCGACAATTAGTAGAATTTGGTACTATTCTGTTTATAATCAGGAAAATATCAAGCTTATAACCAAACATAAATATCCTAGAGACGCCTAAGCAAGAGGCGTTTCAGAACTGTACGAGGGGTAAAAGCTTTAGTCATGTGGGTCAAGGTTTAACAAAACTTAGGAAGGAGGACCCTCCATGGGGGCAAGGATGGAACGACACGAGGGAAAAACACTGGTAACACAAACCAAAAGAGAACCTTGCAAGGGAGACAATCGTACAGAAAGAGGTAGGTGATGAAAGGGAACCGGGACCACAGGATGGGTAAAGGTCAAATTACAACATAAGCAAGAGTGAAGATGATGATGGGACCGCTCAAAGTAGCAAAGATAGAAACGATCACGGCGAACCTGCAGGGACAGGATGCCAGTTTCAACATACAGGCATAGAGTAGGAATCGAACAAAAGGCATCAGAGCTGAAGCGCAACCCAGTATGGTGAAGAGCATCAAGACGGCGAAGAGGGAGAAATGTCCTTCTCGACACATGTACCAGTATGGGTGGGGGTTAATAATGACAAAGGTGTCCACCAAATAAACTAGGTGCTTATGGATTTATACATTATCAACACTTGTAGAATTAACATGACTGATATCAAAATACTTAGTCCACGTAGCAGGACCAAACAAAGCTTGGAATGTATTAGAACCGGAAGGTAACATGCGAATGCAGAAATGATGGTGCCGAGCACCCTCAGTAAGAGGATGGAGGGGGGGGGGGGGGGTAAAGACGCTATTGTTAGGAGAGATGGAGCCATTCCAGGTGATGTGGTTGTCACCACTGGGGGCTTGGGGCTCAACCTCACCACATAGATGGGAGGGAAGCAGAGAGAGCGAGTCAGGAGTCAGAGCAACAGCCTGGTCTGGGCCCAATGTAGAGGGAGCTACAGAGCCCACCTTTCCTTCACAGTCCGACTCAGGTGCCTGGTCGCCCACCCCATGAACCTGGGTAAGAGAAGTCGGTTCAGTTTCCATACAGCATTAATTCTAAGTCTGGGTCCTAGAGCCAAGGGACACCACCTACCAGGGAGGCCGAGCGCTGGGGAGTGCAGGAAGGGTGCGTCGTCCCCAGCGATGCTCCCCCTTTTCAACAGGGGAATCCTACTGCCTCGTCCATTCTCCCACACTGGTGCAAAGACCTCATTCTTCCTTAAGTTCCAGCCTGGACACCCAATCATCCAAGGGCAGCTCCTCCAGCGGGAGGTCCACTGACTCACAAGACCCCTACTTGCGTGTTCCTTAGCATGTACAACACCCTGGGTGGGGCAGGAGAGGGGGACCAAGGCAAACCCTCACTGGCCCCCAGGGAGTCGTACCTGGTTGATACGGTTCTGGGAGTTCTTCTACTCCCCAAGCCCGGCCCGAGGCCAGGCTCGACTTGTGAGAGTTTGGTCCACCAGGCTGTTGCTTGGAGCGGCCCGCAGGCCCACATACCCACCACAGCCCGGTTGGTCCGGCACTCCTTGGAGGAATAAATCTAGTTTCCTCTTGAAAATGTCCACGGTTGTTCCGGCAATATTTCTTATGCTTGCTGGGAGGACGTTGAACAACCGCGGACCTCTGATGTTTATACAGTGTTCTCTGATTGTGCCTATGGCACCTCTGCTCTTCACTGGTTCTATTCTACATTTTCTTCCATGTCGTTCACTCCAGTACGTTGTTATTTTACTGTGTAGATTTGGTACTTGGCCCTCCAGTATCTTCCAGGTGTATATTATTTGATATATCTCTCGTCTTCTTTCTAGTGAGTACATTTGGAGGGCTTTGAGACGATCCCAATAATTTAGGTGCTTTATTGCATCTATGCGTGCCGTATATGTTCTCTGTATTCCCTCTATGTACGTGAGCCTCTTCACAATGACAAGGTGACACTTTGGAGGAGGAGATTTATAAATAAAAAAGCTGAATTTAGAAAATATGGACAGAACTATAATAAATATTGATGGATTTGGTCCAGATTTTTTACAAAATTTGTTGTATCAAGGTCTGATTTTCAGGGTGCTGCTAGTACTACAGAAAATGCAAGGTAGTGATAAACATGTTTTAGTTAAGATTTTAATTCATATTGCTAACATTCTAATAATGTATAAAGTACATTTAATTGTGTTATTTACAATATCACTTTGAAGAGAATGTTGTCCTACCACATTTCAGTTTGCATGGTACAATGAGAAAAATGAAATTAGCTTCTACAGAATTTACATAATGGATAAAAAAAGGTACATTTTAATTTATTACTTCATGAAAGTAAGAGGAAGGGAAATGAATTAGTCTTCCAATTTCAAAAATAAAACAAACATGCAGACAATTCTACCACACCCGTGGTAAAGGGTGAATATGAATGAGTCTTTTCTTAAAAAATGCATGCAGTAGAACAATTTTAATTCTAATCATGTAATGATTTAACAGAGAGTAAGAGATTCAAGATTTTATAGGACAATTTTTTTCACAAAGCACAGTCGTACTTATTTGTCATATTTTTTGTTTCACAATAAGAAACCATCATTTAATGAAATGCAAACTTGTAAATCTTCAATAATACAGTTCCAAGGTCAAACAAGTCTCCATGGAAGACCACAGAACATGCCACCAACTATAGTTGTCCAAGTGTGCAAATTCACATTCTTTACATAACTCAACAAAAGGCATGTAAATAAAATATTTCTAAATTGTATTTACAGGTATTAGAGTGCAGTCTGCAGACAACATAAGTGAGAGCTAGTAGGTGGAGGCTGTGTTTCACAAGTCAACTTGGGTTACTTTTAACGCCTCAACACGTACTACATTCCAATGCTAGAGAATGAAGCTCTTTACCTAATTTTCAATACATCAGTATCACTTGAACCATTAAAATTGGTGAACCAAACAAAACATACAGAAACACGGTGACAAAATCCATCCCTGTAAATAATAAAGTCATCATTAACACGGTAATATAACTTGACAACGTTTATGTTTAACCACATCTTCACTGCATGTTTAAAGGAAAGTAACAACAATATGCACTCCCACTATAATTTGTATTACTCCCTAATAATTGGCAAGTTCCATCTTGCCATAACACTGCCAATTATGTTTCAACTCGTCACAGAAAAAATAACATTTTTACCAAAATATTCAGCAATATTAAGAAATTGCAATTTAAATTGCTGTCTGTCTGTATGTATGAAATATGAATGCATGCATTGAGCTGAATTCCACCAACAACATTCTCAAGGGTAATCACATTAAATGACAATATAGCAGCTTGGATAACACCCACATACTACAAAACTGTATGGGTATGAGCAAAATATTTAGGGTGTGAAAAAGGATCACTCGGAGTCTAGAATTTGCAAGAGATGGGTTTATTTTTTTTAATCTCCTTAATAGTCATGAGGTTGTCTTCCAAATGAAACATTAAATAATAATAATAATAATAATAATAAAAAGATGGCTCTTGCATACATATACTAATTCACATGACATTACTCATAGCAGATGACCCTTCAAAAAGAATTTTAAAGCAATACTTGGAATACCACCATTAGCATTGAATGTTGCTGCAGAGGATTTTTGTTATGACATCACAAAATATGAAGTAAGATTAAGAGCAATGGCACCACAGTGGTTCCAATAGTCCTGCATAAATTACTGGAATGTTTAATCTCTACATTTTGTCCTTCAATCACTGAACTAGCATCTTCCATTAGTTTTCATTTCATAACTTTATCACACTGTTCACATTTTCTGAACTTACTATAATACTGTAGCAAATGTTTTTATAGGTAGCCATTTCCAAATAGTTTTCCATGCAGCACCGTTCAAAATACTTCAGAACGTACAGTATGTCTTTACCTAGATATTGACAGCTAAAATTGCCAGTCTATTGAAATACATATTACATTCTGCATACTATATTATATTTTACAAATCACAATACTGTACTTAAATTGCCTCGATCCACTTTAGCTATACAGTAAAATACTCTTTCTTCACAGCCATTCCCACCACAAATACAGAAATGTTGTATACTTTGAACAAAAACTGGGCTCATGTACTCTTACAAACAAGGTTTTACAAAGCAGTTAAGTACTGGCAAGCAAATGTCATCAGTTATCACCACAATTACTTAAGATTCGGCCTTGTGTGTATTATGTAACTGCAGAATGATTAGTTGACCTACATCATGTCTGTGTCATCACGACACAGCTCACAAAGGCCTGATACATACAACACTTTGGTTACATTTTTAGTAATACTCCTCATCCACCATAAATATTTATCAACACTTGAAGGTACTGTACCTAATTATATATTTACAAAACACTTTCTTGCCCACATGCATCAGTAGTCATTCTCCCCCCATTCATGACCAGCAGTTCCATCGAGGTCGTCGTCATCGTCGTCTTCATCCACACACACCATCACACGGTCAATTACTGTTAAAATAAAATATCGTTACAAAAAAATTAAATCCACTGAGCATTCATCTAAGAGTGACAAAATTACAGAATCTACAGCAATGTAATTAAAAGTTTTAATATACAATAACAAAAGGAACAGGGAAAAAAAAAAAGTTCTTGGAAACGTTGATAAAGTTGCACAAAACCTGACTGCCATAAAATGATAAATACAGTTCACATTACTTACTAACCACCATTAATACAAATCTCACAAGGGCCATCAACAATATTTTATATTTTGCTAACCCAAGAATTGTGTGTAAAATTTATAACAAATTGATTAATTTCTTGTGATACTTTAAAGTATCGTTATATTAGCAGTTCCTTAACAACTGCATATGTCACGTTGCAAGAGTATAGAGATGTACACAAAGTGCACTGTGCAATAATGGACTGCAACAAACAAAACAATCGTCAACATGCACATTGTACAATAATATTTCAAATAATAATTTGAGATTAAATGCTAAAGATTTATATAACAGTTCAGTTCAGTACAGTATTTAATAGATACAAATGCCATGTTTAACAAAAAAAATTTCTTGGGATAAAAAAAAAAAGTTATGCAGAAAGAACACGATCCAAAGGTGGGTGATAAGGGCTGCTGGATTTATTTCATAAAAATGTCAAAATTTACAAAAACAATTATCTAGGTATGAAGGTTATTAACACCTATGAAAAATATAAATACTTCGATATTAAGGCAATTAACATTGAAAACAATCTACTAGATATGAAGATTATGAACTATGAAAAATATAAACACAGTACTTGGATATGAAGGCAGTCAACACACATGAAAACTGCCCTCAGTGCAAGTTGAGTGGGATCAATGTGGTAGGAAGCTGTACTTTATTAAATCACTGCAAAAAAGCAAGATAAAACTGAAAAGATGAAGAGCAAAACATGGTATGGTCTGCTGGTGCCCACAATAATTGTTTGTATTCGAAGAGTTACGCAAAATTAGGGGTTCTGGAGGCCAGAAGTCCAAATTAACTGAATTAGCCTCATTGATAACTTGTGCTTGGAACTAGATCGAGCCCCACAAAATGTACATTACTGTACAATAAATCCTCAATTTACTCAAGTTTGATTTTTTTTTGTTTTTTTTGCATGTAAATTAACAGCTTTTGAACATTAATATTTGAATACCTGGAGAGGTAGCTTATTGTTAAAATTATATCCAGTCATCCCTTGCTAGAATACACTTCTAGAAAAGGTATCCGCTACTTCAGAGTCAAATACACAGTAAGTCAATATATGAACCAAATTTGAATACTTCTGATCACTTAAAATAATGAAGAGTAGAGTAATCCATCAATCACCCCATGCAAGTGATCATTGGACTCATGAGAAAAGTAAATTATTCCACTATAAAAGCTCCTGGTTAGTAACTAAACACTATCAGACCACTGACAAGCGGTAGGTAGATCACCTCACCAGGGTCAGAGAAGCCAGAAGTCTTCACTTAAAGCCTAAGTCAAAGAAATCCACCCAGGACCAAAAGAGGACATAAGCAATAAAAGAATCAGATTGGAAAGAGTTTTTCCATTTGACTTTTGCCTGATTTCTGAGATAGGTCCCCTTTGATGTTTTCCCTCACCAACTCCCTATGAAATAACTTGCCAGAAGATGCTCAAAGAAAAAATGAAGAAACTGCAGCCTACTGTCCCACACCAATGGCAGACCAGGAAAACATGCTCAACACACAATGCCTGAAAAGCAGTCAATATGAAGGTTAGCCAGGTGTTGTTAAAAGTAAAATCATTGTGCAGAAAGAATCTGCAGTCAGACAAACTTGACCAACACATGAAGCATCCAAGAAAAACGATCATTATGATATTAAAAACACATTATGGCAAACACTCCAGCAGGACTCTGATGGGAAGGAACCAGCTGCCTGCTGAACTGATTTCACCCAATGGCCATATAAAGCAGGAAAAAACTGCCCCTCCATGAAGAAGGCACTTGCCAGCCACACACAGGACAAAGCAATGCAAGCAAGGTCAGAAATTTGAACCCAAACAAGGCAAAAAACAGATTTGGGCAACAGATCTATGAAACAATGGAAGAGCTAAAGTGCACAAAGACTGGAATTGAGGCAACAACTCACAGGTAAAAAGGCTGCACCAAAGTGTGGAAAGGAGATACTCCAGCAAGTACCCCCTTCCCCCCAGCAAGTACTCTTGAAGCAAGTTTTTGCTTCCAGAGCAAAAACAAACATGGAGGGAAATAACCAGAGTGGTCAGTGACTTCTGGCTAAGGTGGCCACTGGAAATGTAAGCCCGGAGACCCTGGAGAAGTGCCAGCTGGAAAAGGGAAGGAAGGATGGAACACAATCTCTCACAGCACTCATGACCAAGGATACAACATACTGAACTTGGAGCTACCATCCACCCAGAAATGTGGCTGAAGGCATGAAGAACACAGGAAGACACTTTGCAGGAACATAGGAACATACCAGTATAAGTGGCAAGGCACAAACACAGGAACACAGCCAACATGACCACTCCTAGAGGTCTAAGGTAGGCCGTAAAAATAGAATACTTACAGAGTAGGGTCCCACCAGGGATTCTGAAAATCAGAAAAATTGAGAAACACATTTGGGAATCAGAGGCCAAACTCCAGAACACCATACCTAGGGCACCGGAATGTCCCAAGTGGAGCCCAGGAGTAGGAAAGAAACATCCAGGGCACACATCCAAGAACCAAAGAATGCACCCAAAGACGACTTAAACCTAGGAAAGGCAACCAGGAACATGGGGCCAAATCCAGGAAAAACAAGAATACCCACCAGGACCTCAGGACACTTCCCTAGAGGTTATCTGGAGATAATTTCGGGGCTTTAGTGTCCCCGCGGCCCGGTCCTCGACCAGCCCTCCATCCCCAGGAAGCAGCCTTTGACAGCTGACTAACTCCCAGGTACCTATTTACTGCTAGGTAACAGGGGCATCAGGGTGAAAAACTCTGCCCATCGTTTCTCGCTGGCACCCGGGATCGAACCCGGGACCACAGGATCACGCGTCCAGTGTTCTGTCTGCTCAGCTGCCGGCTCCCCAAGGAGCCAGCGTTACCTTGGACATTATCTTGGGGAGCCTTCTTTTTCCTCCAAGAAGCAAGGAAAAAAAATCCTGAGAGCCAGAGTTACTGTACTCATACTACCAGAGTAGAGGTACAAGTCGACAACTAAAGCACACTGAAGATTATGCCAAACAGTAGCAGCAAATATGGCCCCAATCTGCAGGCCCTGAACAAGGTACAGAACCCTAAAACAAAGTTTAAGCAAATAGCTATATTCAGAGAGAAACTTCCATGTTCACTTCACTTGTGTTGCTCAGTAAAGTAGTTGCTGATAGTAGTCCACAACACTACATATCCATTATTATTAATCTTCCAACACAAATCCAATTTACACTTTTGCTAAAGGAAAGTTAAAAAATGCTTGGTCTCCAATGTTCTGGCTGCACCTATGGCAATGCTACCCTTCACTGGGTCTATTCTACATTTCCTACCAGAATCTACTGTGCCAATAAGTTTTAATTTTGTTGTGCACAGTATGAACTTGACCTTCAATTATCTTCCATGTATATGTGATCTCTCTTTCATCTGTTCCATAGTATATTTTATAAATTCCTTTCTTGCTTATATTGACCGAGTTAATTACAACATATTCCCAAGTCAGAAAATGAATACACAAAACATATTTTGTCCCTATTAGAAAAATAATCATAGCTGGAAATACCAGACCTTTTTTTACATGGGTAAATTTTTTTATTATTAACCACTTATTAACCAAATTACATCCCTGATTTTGCTACAAATATTTAATATTGCCGTGACCCTACTCACTTCATGGGCTATCACTTCAATAGCTTCCTTGATAAACTATACATATCTGCTTTGCAAGATAAATCCTTAATTTCTTACCTCTAGGATCTGGCTGCCTGTGTCAACCCTAATTTCCAGCTGTATGTGATCTATAAAGATACATCTGTGCATTGTCCTAAAAGATCTTCTTTAATTGGCCTCTGATCCCTATTACTTCCTATTTAAAAAATTGGTTATCCAACAACATTTCCAGTATTCTATCTCTGGGATCCTAGGCATCAGACTGGTTACATTTGAAGTCACATTCAAAATCTACAAACTCCCGTAAATTATTCCATCTCATTTCATCATTAATCAAAACCTTTATTTCCTCCTGTGAAGCTACACCAACATAAAAAATGATGACCATCTCTGGGCATGGTAGCATCTTATAAGATGGTATTGAGAAAGGGACCAGACAACTTAAAAGTCCAAAATGCCAAGAACACAAAAGTTAAGGATATCTAAAACACACACAACATTGATGCATCAAATAAACAACCACTACTACATGCAACATATTCAGTTTTTGTCCTTGCAACTGTAACAGCCTGTCAATAACACTTCAAGTCTTGTCTACTTCCTTGACTACAATAAACTGAGATCTAGCCAGCAATTAGCAGGTATATGTATTGCACTTTAAGGGCCATAGTTTCGAACTGTATATTAAGCAGAATTAGATTCATTGTCAGCGTAGATAAATAATATCTGACCAAAGAATGAGTATCTTTAATGTGTTACAAGTTATTCATAATTCTGTATATGGTGTTAGATAAGGAAGTAATTCTTTGGCATTAAGTAAATATGCACGTTATTCCTATAAACATTATGATTCTAAATTACATTCCCAACATTAGCATGCAGCATTCTATGATCCACATATGCTGGTTTTGTATTACATTTATCTCAAATCTATGAACCAGTGTATTTAGAAATAAAGTGCACTTTAAAACAAAATCTTCATTCCCATAATATAATTTGAGATACGTAATGAGACACTACTGGCATTCAGTTGGAAAGTATGGTCCGAGATCCTTACACACACACACAGCCAAAATCTTGCAAGAGTATGTGAGCAAGAACTGTAGCAGATAATAGACAAGCTAGAAGCTCTCCTCACCCATTGATATCCTCAACTAGGGCATTGTCAGTCAGGGCTGAATGATAATGTGTATGGGTAAGAAAAAATTGAGGTTAGTCCAAATGAGCACTGTATGTGCATCATCACGCTGTACACGCACCATTACCATGTCTGTTCAAGCAAAGGCTTCTTCAAGAACATGCCACAGCTGTGTGAATTAAGCATCTATTGAAGTTTGTACTTTACCATCTCCTAAATAAATTATTACAAGTACACAAAGCTATGTATAAATATATGTCTATCTTATATATGTACATGTACTGTACTACCCAGTTTTGTGACACATGCATTAATTAACCAGTAATCTTGGGAGATAACCCTACATGGTCTACATTGCTACATACAGCTATCACACAAATCAAATGAAAATCTTATATTAAAATGAGGATTTTCCATTCTTAAATCATTTACAATGCCACTTAATCATATGGCCAGACCTATCATATGCCCAGGCCTAAACAAATGGTTAATGTAACATTAATGAGCCACTTCTTACACAAACTAGATGGGAAAATAAAAATGTTCTGATGGGGATGTTAGCTCATACTATATATATACAGTACAGGCATTTTTGTATTAGCAACCCAAAATATCACAAACTAATTTATAAATCATGGGTTTTAGTTCAGTTCATCAAATTTGGTCCAGATAAACAGGGTTGCAATTTATTACACTTTAAAGTATATTTTCTAAGAATGAGAAAGAACCTTTCTAATTGAGTTGCATACAAGAAATGGCTCAAATGTTAACTATTTTTGGCACTTGAACTTGTAAGGCGGTATGTGATAGACAAATATTCCCCTCGCTATTTCTAATTACAAGCAGTAACCTACAAAAATCATTAATAATTATGCTAATCACATCCTGAAAGTATAAATAATACAAACTTTTTGAAATTGGTAATGATAAGGTAGATGAACCACTTAGAAAGCCTCGGTACAAAATCCAAACAGAGGTAATTACTTATCGTGGAGTGACAGATACACTGGATCACATAAAGGAGAAGTCGTCACTGTAATGCGCATGGTATATCAAAGACTACTTTGAATGTATAGCTGGCTGATGAAAACCGGTTCCTCAGCTAATTATGTGCCTCGGTATACCCCTCCACTTTACCACCCACAGGATGGTTGCATAAGGTTTTTTCTTTCGACTTGTATTCTGTACCTATTAATATATGCAACCCAATACAGACATAATTGTTAGTGAATTATTCAACCCATCTTCTTTGAGTATTCCTAAGTCACTAAACTGATTTACTAAATTGCCCAAACCTAACAAAACCCAAGGATTCACGAAAAGAAAACAGGACATCACATCAATTTTGCATCCCTCTACGATTTTTAATATGTACATCACTTTTTGGCCTCAGGATTTATGAAAAAATGCGATGTACTATTCGAGAGGACAGGTTGAATTATTTACTTAATACACTAGAATAATTTGTCTCAATAATTTGCTCTAATAATTCTCAGATTTTCATACTCTATATTTTAGGATCAAGTACAGTAAATGTTTCGTATAGATCAACTTCTTTTGAGTTACAATTACAGAAAGTGTCAACTACATCATTCATTGAGCCTATTATCTTTGCATATTCTGCTCAGCTGTGTAGATGATAAAATTAAATCATCCTTTGAGTTAATATGAACAGCAATAAGGAGAATCATTCAGTTGCCCCCCTAATAAGATGCTGGAAGGGTCACTGGAGACCACTATCCATCTCTTGATGCTCAACAAGTGCACAGCATAAACACAAAAGCCTTTTAAGCATACCAAGTGACTGCCAACAGAGGGTTCTTGCCCATTCCTCAGTCCTTAGTGTGGCACTTATGTCCACACCACCAGGTGGCAGTGTAATACTCACCTACAGTTATCAAGACAAACTTCCAAACATGATCTCTGACTTTAAACCTATCAGAGCACAAGCAGGTAGGCTTAGAGATGTAGGGTCCAGAGCAACAATGATTCAGTTCAGATGGGTGCTTTCCATATTCTCTCAGTCTAATTTCCAAACACTTGTATTTTATTCTCCTATAGAATTTAAGAATACTGAACCAAAAATATACCAGTGATACTAAGCAGTGCCTAAGAAAACTGAGGGGTTGAAGAAAACACCCTCACAATGTTCTTTATCACGCTTAAATCCCCAGTTAGGAAGTAGGTTCATTATGAGCAAAACATTGGAAAGTCTGTAATAAAGGTAAGAGACTGGTAGGGAGCTTCCACTGGCTGGAATAGGACCAATCAAAGATTTTCATTAAGAAATAGGAATGGAACTGGGTTAAGATAACCAGTCGAGAGCAAAGGGAGTCATGAAAGTTGTAGCCCCTTTCTGGCCACTACAAGAAGCACTCCGCAAACAACTGTCTTCAATTTCCATGAGTACACAAGAGGCTTCTTGATTAGAGGAAAGAGGCAAAGATTATCACCGACACCAACCGAGAAGAAACCTCCACTGCAATAATAGAAAGGAGCCACGATTGTGGTTCGCAAAGAAGTAAAAAAGTCACTGCAATGAGACTGCAGTCTGCATCCAATGTCCATTGTATGCAGTTCATACGCAACTAAGAAAAATCTTCTGGCAACTCATTCTATATTACATGAATGTACACTGAAGGAACCCCCTCAACACTGAAGCAAGATGGATCTCCAAACCTCGTGTTAGATCCAATCACTTCAGTGCAAAATAAGGCAATGTAATTACATGCCTTTATATTGGTACAGTATGTGCCTCACCCAAATCGAGACAACCGACTGTATCCCAAATAATGACGGCAGTAATTCCAGAATAATGAATATCCAGCTAGGGGGTATTCCTGCAACTCAATTCTCAAGTTATATTTTCTAACAATCAAGTTTATATTTATAGCAAGGTCTGAGTAGCCAATGATTAGCAAATGCCTAAAACAAGAGCTTGCATGTTTGCTGGATAAGATTTCCTTTGGGTCAAATAATATATGTATGTGAATTATTTATTTCTGACTGATGTCTTCAAGTGTATTTGTGAACCTACGACCAGTCAGGTAGATTATGACACTTAACAGTGCCCACAGAACATTTCATTAATTGCTTCATTATTAGTAGAGGTATAATCTATTAATCAAAGTGAGGCATATTCATTAAGTGATTCCCAGGATGTATGGAAAGAGAATTTAATGCTTGATAACTAGAATGGACGAGACAAGTGCTTGAGCACTTGCAAACTAGTAATATTTTCAAACAAAAATTATTGAACATAAAAGGGCATTTAGTACTTGTGTTGTGTGAAAGAACTTTAGTACTGTAATATAATTTTTCAATTATCATGCAATAATTAATTTGTAAATGTGTGAAGGCAGCAATATCTCATGAAAAACTGCATAATCACAAAATTCAATGCACAAGTTTGATATGTTATCTGAAAACCTTGGGATATGAAAATACACTGCATTATTGTATATTAATATTCGCATTTTATCACCTAGTTAAGATTCCGGGAGTTCTTTTTCTCCCCAAACCTGTCCCGAGGCCAGGCATGACTTGAGAGCGCTTTGTCCACCAGGATGTTGCTTGGAGCGGCCTGCAGGCCCACATACACACCACAGCCCAGTTGATTCGGCACTTCCTGAAGAAAACTACCCAGTTTACTCTTGAAGATGTCCACGTTTGTTCCAACAATAGTTCTTATGCTCGTTGGGAAGATGTTGAACAACTGTGGTCCTTTGATGTTTATACAATGTTCTCTGATTGTGCCTATGGGACCTCTGCTCTTCACTGGATCTATTCTACATTTCCTTCCACATCATTCACTCCAGCATGTTGATATTTTACTGTGTAGATTTGGGACCTGGGCCTCCTTTATTTCCCATGTGAATATTATTTTATATCTCTCCCATTTCCTTTCTAGGGAGTACAGTACAATCTTTATTCAGTGCACTATATGGGACCAGCCCCCAGTTCGTTGTGGGGGTGAATTCGTTGCAACAGGTGACCTTCAGGAGGCATTTGTGTCTGTCTTTTCTTGTACGCAATAAAAATGCATTATCATATTATATACTGTACCTATACAGTATATTACTACTCTACTAAAAATACTGTGTTATAGTTTTATTTATCTTACTGTTGGAGTACATATGTCCATTTTGAATTTTCATGGAGTTGTGTATACAGTATAGTAAATATGTACAGTACTGTATTATGCAATTAGCACTGTATTGATTATGTAGTTCTGCTGTTTGTTGTGTACTACAATATAGTTTATGAAAACTATTGTACACAAAATGAAAGTTGCAGTAATTTTAAACACTAACACTATGTACTTAAATTTAACACTTGTTCTAACTTACACACTACACAGGTTGTTCTAAATGTTTACATCACCTTTTGTGTTGGTTTCAGGTACTTAATGAGTCTCTGCCAATTTTCCTGTTTTGAATATTATGCCTATTCTTAAATCTTTCCAATCATTCTTCACTAGCTTGAAAATCTAGAATGTTCATCTTTAAACATCAATCGCATCATCATGGATGGATTGGTGGCTGACTGGCGGGCAGGCATCAGGCGGATGGGCGGCTATTTGGGCAGACAGTGTGGGTGGGCGGCTATTTGGGTGGGCTTCTGGGCAGGCAGATGGACGGCTAACACCAAGGAACTAGGTTTATACACCCTACAGTAGGCTAAAGTAAGCCAGATTCCAGTAAGAAATCTCTCAAATATTGGATTTATATCATATTACTGGTACATATTTTTGGGTTATATATTTAGTTTAGCAACATTATTAGGATAATAAGAGCTATAAATATACTTATTTTAGAAAGATTTATTAATTTTATTATTTCGAGGCGTAGGTCACTGAACTGTAGCAACGAATTTGAATGAAAAGCACATGGTGCTGTGTGTACAGGGGATAGACCTGTCCACACGCACTCCAGTTGTTTCATCACAGAAAATGTCTTTAAGGGGATTTCACCACATGTAGCTAGCTATTCACGCTTCAGCCTTTAAATTAATTTACAAAGATAGGTGTGCCAAAAATCAGCGAACAAAAATCATTTAAACTCGGTCGTTCACTTCTTGTGTGGACCACTCTGGCTGGTGTTTGGTTAATATGGTTTATTTATTGTGTGGACCAGTCTGGCTGGTGTTTGGTTAATATGGTTAACTTCTTGTGTGGTTCACTTGTCCACTTGTGTGAGCCAATTTGTCGTATGAAGGAATTATTAACAACTTGTGATATACAGGTAATGGGAAAGTTTTCCACCAGTCTGTAAACTCTGTCCCAACATCGCAAGCAAATCCACACATCCCCCACTTCGGCGAACCAGAGTTTGCCGAAACAGGTGAGTAAATCTGGCCTGAAAAGTGTGTGACCTAGCCAGAGATTTGCTGAATCGGGGTACGCCGAATTGAGGTTGTACTGTGTATTTGGAGAGCTTTGAGACGATCCCAATAGGTTAGGCACTTTATTATGTCTCAAGAATCTGTACACCAGTTGATTGACAGTTGAGAGGCAGGACCAAAGAGACAAAGCTCAACCCTTACAAGCACTACTAGGCGAGTACAACTTGGCGAGTATGTATTCTGTGTGTGTTCTCTGTATTCCCTCTATTTCAGCAATCTCCACTGCTCTGAAGGGGAAAGTGAATATCGAACAGTACTCAAGATAGGACAGCACAAGTGATTTGAATAGTACAACCATTGTGATGGGATCCCGGGATTTGAAGATCCTCGTAATCCATTCTATAATTTTTCTAGCTGATGCTGTATTTGTTAAGTAACGCTCTCTAAATATTAGGGTGTCAGACATCATTATTCTCAAATCCTTTACATTCTGCTTTCCTACTATGGGCAGATTTGAGTGTGTTTTGTATCCTGTATTTTGTTTAAGATCCTCATTTTTACCATACCTGAGTACCTAAGAATTTATCACTGTCAAGCATGTTATTTTCTGCTGCCCAGTCAAAAATTTTATTATTACAATATCTGCTTATAGTTTCTCAATATCTTCAACAGAAGAAATTTTCATGCTGATTTTTGTGTGTCATCTACAAATGATATGAAGTTCTGACTTGTATTTTTATCTATATCTAAGAATAAGGAAGAGCAGTAATGCACGGACCGTGCCCTATGGTACAGAACTTTTAACTGCGCTTGGACTATTTTGTGACACTTTTTGCGTTTGTGTATCAGATGTGTTAAATCAGGGTTCACTTGCATAACTTTTATGTCAGCGAGCTACTATATTCCTGTTTATTTTATCAAGCCTTGAGACAATCATTTAAATGCCATACATCCTTGTTCTGTGCCAGTGAGGGTTACATATACATTAACATAGGCAAGCAATACATTACCATCACATTAGACATCATTCGCTTCCCAATTTCTATATAATGCAGTCTTATGTACACATCTACACCATTTGTAATTTCCAGTAAGCTGTTATTCCATGCAAAACCTACTTGTAAATTAATTAATACTGCATACAATAGTAGTCTACTGCCAGAGATTTGAAGAATAACAAAAAATGTTAAATAATAGTGTACAATGTGTTAAAGAGAGGAGTTGTACATTATCAAGTCTAACAAGTCTTCCTAGAAATGACTTTTTTTCATACCTTCTAAAGCATGCTCAATTTTCTTGAGGTTGCGAAGGATGCCAGCCAACTCCCGGGAAGTGGATCGGCTTTGACCGGTGGTTAGCGTCTGGTCACTCTCGCTAAGATGTGCAAGCACTGCCTCAAGCAAAGCTGCACGATCTCCTTCCTCATCATACTGGGATCTGAAGAACAATGACAGTGCATTAAAATACAAGTGTAATCTCCCCCATGTTCTGATGAACATTACCATTACAGTTATCATCGTTACCCTGTTTTCTACTACTATGAATACCTCCTCTCCCCCATTTTGACATGTTTTAGTGTCCCACTATCCCCTTACATAAAGACTGACCTTTCTCAGAATGGAACCCACAATAGTTGCCCAACTCTAGGGGTACCTATTTCCTGCTGGTAAACAGAAGTATTAGGTGTAGGGAAAAGCAAGACTTGTCCTACCCGAGAATTGAACCCGAGACCATTCAGTCGAGAGCCAATTGCACTACTGGTCACGAGCGTTTCTACCATTTAAATTTGGTAGTAACAACACACTAATATCAAACTGTTTCCATTCAGTCCAGTTCATTGCCACTTCTGGTGTGTTAGTGACATGCCCATCTGCTCACCATATTTGCTCATCTGTATCAGCAATCCACTGCTCATTCTCCTCTCTTATTCCCTTATACTTTCTTCACTAACCTTATCCAATCATAGTACACTTTCCTTAGTTTTATCAGGGTTATCTCTCAAATTTAGTAAAAAATTAAACTTTGAAAATAAAAATAATGTGTATACATTTGTATACAGTATACAATTTTGCTGCAATCTTACCTCATTTACTTTAGTTATTCCATTATTAAATTGGTAATAAATGGTAAAATGTTTATATATATGACATACGAATGGGAAGACACAGCTTAGGGATGCAAGTGATTCCATAAGCTTATTTCTATGTGGTGAAAAAGTATCCTGTGTTCTGTCCTACATTGTGGCTTGTTCAGTTTGAAGCTGTTGCCCCTTGTGGGTACCAACCTCTTTCCTGAATGACTGACCCTACTTCAAATGAATGAAATCATTAAATGACTTCAATTGCAACAAAATTGTCAACAAAACAGCCCAAAGTCAATTTTCCCCCTTAACATCATAAACTCCTGTATGCTAATCCCCACAATCACCATGCCTACCTGAATCAATCAAACCTACACTATATGGCCTTGCCTTGAACCATATATGGACTAACATACACCCCTCTCACCCCTGGCATAATCACAGAACAACTGGTCACTATCCTACCATCCTCATAGAAAACATGAATAAAACACTATTGAATATCAAGAACTTAACCTTCAGACTACACAGTGAAACACCAAAAGACAACCTCGTAAATGAGCTTCACAATATAAACTGGAAATCCAAATTGAAAAATACATGTAACAAATTCCTTAATTTGATATCTTACTCACAAAAACTTTAAGCCTATACATAGTAACTAATGTACACTACATAAGCTGGTATTAGAACATAGATTATGAACGGTGATCAATTGGGAGGTCCAAATGAAGGTGACCGCATGGTACTAGCCAAGGGAAAAAATCTAATTAGTGGTATTTGAATGTGCGGCATCACTGTCAACATTACAGTCAAATTCCCCGTCCCACCAAGGTTGGTCATAGTTGGTGATCCCACCAACCTGTTTTCCCTTTTCCATAATGGGATTTACTTACTTTAGTTTTTGCAGAAGTGTTTCAGAGGTGGTGCGAACCTTGACAGAGAGCGAATGAATTGTGGAAATGACCAAGTTATCTAAAGCTTCCATCTTGGCTTTAGATCTACCCGACACCATGCCTCGAGTGCTGCCCAATGGGGATCGCTTTCCCTCACTGCCAGATTCATCCAAAGATGTCTGCAAGTAAATGTGAAAATTCTGAAATTCATATACAGTATATAAAAAATAAAATAAAATTATATACATGAATTTAGAAATGTATGAGTGTTTTGCATCTGATCACTGGGTTTTGTTTATTTGTTAGTGAGCTGTACTAGTTATCTAATCACTATGGGTCTGAAGTATTCATTACCTTCTGAAGTATTCATTACCTTAACTTTGATCTACCTATGCTGCAATTACTGCAAATTTTTTTTTTTTTTTTTACCAGCACAGTATTACAAAGTTAGACAGCTTTATGAATCTGATGATGATTTGTAAGCAAAACAAAATGAAATGATGTAAATGGCCAGTAACCCTTCAGCCACAAAATATACATATATTTTATCCATGTTTTGCCATGTAGGCAATGTTGCTGCAGTTATCATATTGATGTTTAGCCATGTAGTGATATTAGAGTTCTGCCTCTGATATCAACTGATGGTTCTTTAGCTCATACACGCTAATGAACAAATCTAATTTTTTTGTTGGTACAAATGGATACTGTAACTTGCAAAATTTTTAGCAAAGGTTTCTAACTTCAAAATATAAACTAGCATTATATTTTTTTTAAACATAGCATTAAAAATATAGCGATGTTATGCTAAAAAATTGACTTTGTTTACAATATAGGAGAGAGCCGGCATGCTTCAGACAGCAGGATGTTCTAAATGGGTTCCTTCTGTCAAGAGAATTTGTCCAGCAACAAAGAGATCGAAGCACAGTATACGCTGTTCTGATGGTCTTAATGCACTATTTCCTTCAATCTAGCTTCACACATTTGTGGTGTTAAATTTGTCTTTTTATGCAATTCAAAGCTTATTTCTGCAATGTCTCAAGCCATGAATCTGCCTGACTTGTCTTGCATACAAAATTGGCCAACTTTTAATATTTCATGTACTCTTTTTTTTTTTAAATTGTATGTATTTTTGAAATTATAAATATGTTTTGCACATATCAATATTGTTTAATATGTAATGTAACTTACTTATACCTACATACAAACATTCCTTCTCAAGTCTGAAACGATCAATCCACGTGTCGGGAACTACAGTACCATCCATTTAACACCAGACAATTTATACATCTTAAACTAGATATTAATACCTTGTATGTTTACTAACGGTTTTAAAGGTCACAGCAAAACAACCCAAGAAATTTATCTGTACTCTGGCACAATACAAACAGGTCTACCTGCAATACCCAATTTAATACACACATTAAACAAAGTGTCCAAAGCATACCAGCCCCCTTCTATAGCAATTCCTGAGTAATTATGAATGTAAAAAGTATCACAGCGTACATACAAACACGCTCCTCAGCCGCATGTGGGCTGTGGCGGCAAAATCGGCCTCCGTGGATGACTTTGTGAGTGCACCAGACCAACACTATGGCAAGGAGAATTTTGTTTGTATTATTTTATCCCATTCTCTTCATATTACTTCTAATAATGTGTTTAAGTATCCACATGGGAAAAAATATGCATAAAAAGCCGCAGCCGAAGGGTTAAATTTGAGACAGGCCCATGAATTTGAAATGAGAATAAGAATACAAAAAAAAATAGAAATACTCGTTACCCAAGGACTGAACGAACAGCAAATAGTACTGACCCCTATGTATGGGTGCAAGATGACATTGCATACATGAAAAGTAAAGAGTTAGAGCCATAGAAATGGACAATTTGAGAAGCATGTGCAGTGCTAGAAAAATAGATGGATCAAGGAGTGAAAATGTCAGATGTAGTGCATAAGTCTTGACTGCAAAACTGAGAAGTACTGAAATGGTTTAGCCATCTTAAATGGATGATGGTGGACGTTATGAAATGTTAGTACAGTATTTTGTGAATTTGATGGTAAGAGGAGAGGCAGGCAATGATAATGAAGATCGACGATAACATGGAGTGTAAGTCAGCTGAAATTAAATGTGAATACAACGTAGGAATACGATATATACAAGGCCGAGTGGAAATAGTTTTTAAGACGTGAATGTGGTTATACACTACTGTACAGTAAAAAAAATCATGAGGGGGGCCCCTTATAAAGGCCCCTTATATACATACATATGACCTTATAAAGACGTAAGGTCCTGCTATGTATGACTGCTGGAATGTGGTGGTGTTTGTCTAATTCTCATGCTGCATAGTGTGAATTAAGTAATGCATGGACAAATTATTTCTATTTTTAAATATCTACAATCAACTTCCACTACAGTATTCACCTTTTCTCTGGGTTTATGCCTCCTTACTCCATGAAAATGGGAAACAGGGTAATAACAATGAATGAATGTAGAAAATGAATCATGCACAGTGAGCAACAAGAGCACTCCATGAATCACAGACGGCAGGCACTGGAGTAAAACGAAGCAAGTGTGTAAAGAACACTGATGTAAAAGAGGAGTGCATATGTTTACTTCATACATTTATTTCAATGTCAAACATACAATACACACATACAATACAATACAATACAATGCACACATACAATATTTACATGGTTAAAATTATATATTTTCCAAAACATTGTACAGTATGTATACAATACAGTATAAAATCTCAATTAATACAGCGCAGTATATCATGAAAAGCCCCCAACTTATTAAGGGCCTACCGAGGTTCTATATTTAAAACTTGCAACACATAAGGAGGGCAAGATAATGAAATTAAGTTACATATATTGAAACAGCAATTGTTCATTCATTACAAAATACTGTACTCATTGCTATCAATGTGACCTTATGTCTTGGAATAGTCAATGACGGTTGGACAAATTTACCCATAGTATTTAAACAAAATATGCCAATTGATTTACTACACCAGGTTTTCAGTCACTGCTGGATAGCCAAGTCTAACAAAAGAATTTTGTCCAGACCTCATTTTGCCCAACAGGTAAAGATGGGGTCTCAAAATTTGTAGAGGAAGACATACCAATTTCAATACCACGAGAATTCCATAAAGAATTAATGCATACCTTCCTAGTTGGAGATCCCAATTGACCTTCACCTTCGTCCGAGAGTGCATATGATGCTCTTCGAGCCCGGGCTGAAGACAATGTCGTCTGTCGTGCCGGAGAGGTGGTGTGGGGAGATGACAACTGGTGCGGAGAAGTTGGAGATCTTCTCAGCGGAGAACAGTGAGGTACAGGATGAGCTTGCTGAAATGTTATAATAATGATTATGTCTTATATTAAAACAACCTATGAATTTGGTTAGAGAGCAGTATGGGGTATCCCCTTTCAAACAAAATATGAACATCCTTGAAAAATTCACACATAACCAAACATGCACAAGCACTTTTCTTATAACCTCCCATGAATCTATACTGAGGAAATCCTTAATTATTATTATTATTTCTTGATAGATGCACAAGTTACATGCTTTAATTATACATTATTATACATATCGATTCCTCTCTGGCAATCCAGAGGAAATGCTCACAGCATCCATGGTTCCTGCCCGCCATCTGAGAAGCCGGAAGAGCTTTACAACTTGTGATAAGTAGCCTTGTACCCTGCATGTAACCAATGTTGTAACCCTTTTTGTGTAATGAAATTTTAAAATAAAGTTAGATATATATACACACACACTAAAAGAATATAGGAGGTAAGAGAAGAAAATATAACAGTGTTCAGTGAGGATCCACAAGGTCTTCTCTGAGTACTCTATTTATTACCACCTTACTCTTTAGTTATTACCACCTCTGGTGCAAGTGTAGGGACCCATAGCCTCGGAGAAGAAAATAGAATATCCATGGGAAGGATAAGAATTGCCTCAAAGATTACAGGCAAGACAGAATGAAGAAAAATATAGACAGGTACAAGAAAAGGTAAAAAAAAAAAAAAAAAAAGTCAAAACATGAAACAAAAGTGTTCATGACGAGGGCAAGTGGAGGTCAGCACTGAGTGGGCTCAGAGTAATCAGAGAAAAGACCCGTCAGAAGGAATGAGCATTCACTTTACATCCTACCCCACCCCCCCAGTAGGTCTTCCACGGCCAAATAGCCCACTACTGTCGCATTCTATTTTTAAACTTCCGAGGATGCTTGAACCATTTCTCAAACCAAATGCAGCTGTAAATTGCTTACCTCTTCCTCTAGAGAATACGGGCCATCATCCTCACTTGTGTAGAGATGGTTTGGTCTTCGTGGCCAGCGACCACCAACTCCCATTCCTTCCGTACCGTGAAAAGATGCTGAACGCAACAGAGACCCAGGAGGACTGTAAAACAAAATACAATTGTATTTATTACATTAATTCACAAATAAAAAATTTAATTACAAATTCTTAACTATTTTGTAGTTATATACAGATAATGTAAATAAAAAAACAGCATTGAATGTATTGAAATGCCAGTTTATGGGTGAACACCAGAAGCTCCCTGAAGCTATCTTACTGATCAAGTAATTACCTAAGTGTAGTTACAGGATAAGAGCTACGCTGGTGTCCCGTCTTCACAGTACTCTGTCATATAACCTTTTGAAACTACTGATGGTTTTGGCCTCCACCACCACCTCGCCTAACTTGTTCCAACCGTGTACCACTCTGTTTGCAAAAGAAAACTTTCTAATATTTTTTTGGCCCTTCTGTTTCCTTAGCTGGAATCTGAGTCCTCTTGTTTGTGAAGTTGCTGGTTTCTGGAATTCCTCTTTGTCAATTTGGTCTATTCCTGTTAGTATTTTTCAAGTGGTGATCCTATCACTTCTTTTTCTTCTATTTTAATTTTGGCATGTTAACACCTCTAGTCACTCCTCGTAACTCTTGTTTTTCAGTTCTGGAAGCCATTTTGTAGCATGCCGTTGCACCTTTTCCAGTTTATTGATGTGCTTCTTGAGATATAGGACCATACAACTGATGCATATTCCAATTTTGGTCTCACAAAAGTCATGAACAGTTTTAGTATTTCACCATCCATGTAATTAAAAGCAAATCTGAAGTTGGAAAGCGACGTATATGCTCCTCTCACAATGTTCTTTGTGGGTTCCACTGGCGACAGCTTACTATTAAAAACCACCCCAAGGTCTCATTCTTTATTAGAGTTCTGTAATTCCTTTCCACATAATTTGTACTTTAGAGTACAAATTATGTGGAAATTTGAAGGTATTATATGAACTATAAATTTTCTTTGTACTAGTAGTTATCAACATGCCCGTGTAAATGTGGTGAACGTACCTTGGAGATCTATCCGACGAACTTATGGTATTGCCTTGAGGCAGCTTATCACTTTTCTTATCAACTTTTTTTCGTCCCTCTGCTGCAGCTTTCATTGGATCATAATTTTTACGCCGTTTCCAATTTTGAAAATCGACTTCCTTAGCAGACAGTGTAGAATTGGAGCGAGGTGCACCTCTCCTCGTACCTGACGCAAGCTCTTTTCTCACATTTGTCCGTGACGGTGATTTGGAGACAGCCTGTTGAAATACAAACACAAAGCTGTGAAACTTTATTTATAGCATATACTGTACTCTGTACTGTGTATCATACTATTAATATACTATGTAGAATTTTGAATGAATTTTTCTTTACATTCAAGAAGAATGTAAAGAAGGAAGTAGCAAAACATTGGTACACTGTACCAATGGTTTGCTACCTCCTAGTTTACCGATTCTAAAACCCTTTCCCCCCCCCCCCACTCACACTTCTTCAAAACCTCCATGTCATTCTTGCATCATCCCTTCAAATTTATGAAAGAACAGTCATTGGAATTAATTACAGGTACACATTGTGGTTATATACAACTGCCTGAAGATGATCCACATTTGATCACAGCATCTTCATACCCCTGAGAAACCCGTCTCTCACACCAGGTCTGAGAAGCCCCAATTAAGAACCCCTGAACTTGGACAAGAAAGACCCTATTTTATGTCCTGAACTGTGACTGTAATTGCGGCCTATCTTATGAGGTACACAGGATAAAAAATGTAATTGGTTGAAATAATGCAAAGATTTAATATTTTATCATAAATGTATCTGAGGGCTAGTGAGGAGTGAGAAACTATATATAGAATTCTAAGAATAAATAGTTCTAAGTTCTAAGAATAAAGATAGGGAGATTATTCTTGAAGCTTGAGGAACTGCCAATATCCTTATAATTAGGAAATATAACTTTTCCCCTAAATAAATCCCATTGAATTCAGGGATCAAAAGGTATCCTATGATTTACCATATATGGTAAAAAAAATACATTATATATGGTTGGATGAACAATGCCCAACTTCTCTACAGTATTCCATACAAAATGGCAAGTCAAAATTGATAACGCTTACTGTCGTGGACGCAGAATGGGGCAACCGCAAACTAAACCTTCCACCGTCTCCTCTACTGAAGTCGTTGGAACTACTTTTAGGCGTCGTTGCCTGCGAATGAGAACCACCTCGAGACGTCTGTCCCCCCTGATGACTCTTACTCTGGGCGAGAGGAATCTTACGACTTGCTGTTAAGTTGCCAGCACTAGAGGGTCTTGCAATCTTTTTCTTATCAACAGGTGATGGGGCCTTGTGCTGCTGCTGAGCTGGCTCCTCACTTGCCAGACGAGCTCTTCTCAAGCTGCAAAATTAATGAAGCTACTGTAATATAGTAGTAATATACAAACACATTATCACTACCCTATTTCCCCTTTCACAGAGTGGGGAGGCATCAGGATGGGAAGAGGTAAGTAAAGGACAAGAAGGTTAATGACATTAAAAAAACAATTAAATGTCATTGCATTCATTATTACACAATGGCTAAACAATCACTCCAGCAGCAAGCCAGCGGACAGCACGCTGGACTTGTGATCCTGTGGTCCTGGGTTCGATCCCAGGCGCCGGCGAGAAACAATGGGCCGAGTTTCTTTCACCCTATGCCCCTGTTACCTAGCAGTAAAATAGGTACCCGAGTGTTAGTCGGCTGTCACGGGCTGCTTCCTGGGGGTGGAGGTCTGGTCGAGGACCGGGCCGTGGGGACACTAAAGCCCCGAAATCATCTCAAGACAACCCCCCCACCCACAAATGTTTCATAATATCCAATTTTCAATTGAGAATTTGAAGTGTTTAGCTTGTGAAAACATTTGACTTTTGAAACATTACCTTAATAATTTGATAAATATTTCAACTTTTTTTTTATTTTGTTGGATTTAAGAAGCCTTTTCTCACATCATTTACAACAGTTGCTGATTTGGCATTTAACCTTATATTGTTGTAGTTACCAATATTCAGCGCAACACATGCACACACATACACACACAAACCAAACACACAATATACAAGTAAAAAAAAATTTAATAAAAGCGTAAGATTAAATTATATTAAAATTTGTTTAAATTTAAAGTTATATTTTAAAGTTCTAAACCAAATTCTAAAGTAGGTTACAGGCTCCAGATTAGATTGAAAATAATTTAGGATCGGCTCGAGACAATTTTAGTAATTATTCGTACATTTCTGGCCATTATTTAATGGCATTTATATTCTTAGGCAACCACGTTAAGTCTAACACCAAGCCAAAACTGCTTACAACAGACCTCATGCCTGATGATTAAACATACATATCGATTGTTTATTTTATATATATATCTATATCTCGATCTTCTAACTGAAATTAGATCAGAGCTTGTAATCAAGTTTAGAATTTGGATAGGTGTGACTTAAAGATATTGAGATAATAAATATAAATGCATAGCAGCTACTGTGGCAATACTAGGGACACGTGATGATTCCTTTAATTAGTAACTTATATAACAATTGTAGCACCAACTGCACCAAAACTAAGGACCGTGATATTTTTTTTTAATTAGCCCATTACTGTAATATTCAACTAATTGTAGACTACTGAACAATAAAATTGACTAAGTGTTTGTGCTACTATACCTAAAGGCTCTATTGAACTTGAGGGGAGGGTTATTATCAGTGGGCTTGCGACTATCCTTAATGGGTTCACTGGCTTCACTACTGCTATCTGACTGTAGGCTGTTGTCTTCCTTGCCAGCTGTATAAATATCGTACCCACTGTCCGACACTATAGATCTCTCCCTCTTGAAATGACTTGTTAGCTTGAGTCTAGTCTCCAGTGCCAGTGGATCAGCTTTTCGAGGACTAGTTGCCACTGGAGGTGTCTTCGGCAGGCCATCAATACCAGCGAGCTTCAGTTTGGTCTTCAGCTGGGAGCCAACCGTTTTCAAGAGTCTGTCGTCGTCGTCGTTGATGGGATATGAAGTGCTAGTGTCCAGGTCAGAATCTCCTCCAGAGTCGTGCGATTCAAAGGATGAGCCCCTGAGGCCCAATGGAATGCCTTTGTTCATATCAACTCGGGCCTGAAGAGAAGTGACAAGTTGCTCAGTGTCACGGAGAAGAGACTCTGTATCGCGGCTGTAGTCAATTTGCCCCAGAACTGGGGAGCTAAAAAGCTCCTGGTGCTGCTGAAGGAAAGAGGAAGTTATTCAAACAATTCATAGATACCAAGACATAATTGTATGCAATAATTAGACCTACTCCATAAAATAAGTACTATAGTACTACTGTACTTGCATAAATTAAAACTAGAATAATGTGGTTAAAAAGAAGACAAATGTTTTGATTATAAACATAAAATTGAGCAAAGCAATTTGCTGGTCCTCTAAGTCCCTCTGATTTCCTGAACAGATCATGCAATGAGGCTAAGTGACATACTGCACAGCACAGAGAGCTTTCAAACTGCCCATAAGATCACATGGGTGCTACAGAGTGCTAGAGTTCCATTCAGCACAGGTGGCTTTTCATTTCACAAAATCAAAGTCCTACAGAACCACTCTGTCATTCAACTCTGCAACAGCATTGTAAGCAGCTTTTCCCATGAGGGTTGAAGATAGGGTGAACTTCCCAAAACAGACAATTTACATGTAACTGAATGAACCACTTTCTGGCCATTCTGTGCTGGAATGCGTTCTCCAGTGCTTCCTAACACTTACATATTGATCTTGCACAGTATAAAGTTGTGGCATAAATGGTACCCTAACTGACAATATTCCTGTCCAAGGTAACATTAGAATATGCTTTAGACAGCAGCCGAATGTGATGCCTCAAAAACCCAAAATAAATTATGAATGGAATCCAAAGCAATATTTTAGTGTCGGCAGGAACAAATCTTGCAGTTGGATAGGGCAACATTGAAGGAACCAGCCCCATAGAAAATATTTCAATACCCTTGCAGTTATACTAGTACTAAGGACCGCTGGAGGTTATTCAGCTAAAGGGAGCTAATTAAAGCATAAATTAGACACTGAGAAAGGCTTTACAAGCCCTCTTTAGCAATGCACCCACTCCTCCAGCCACCAAATGGCAGTGCTTGAACCTGGTCTACCTAACCAAACCACCTTACATTATCCCTGATGAATGAAATAATTTCATTACAGTCTCCCGAGACTGATGGATGCCTACTACTATTTTATTTTGGTTCTCTGTTTTTCTGACACTGGAATGAGTGAGAAGGCTTGGTGAGGTGGATTTCATCAGGTGCTGCCATGTGGAGTTAGGAGGAGGAAGAGAAGGCAGCCATTAGTTTCCCCGAGGCTCTTCTTGTGCATTAACAAAGTTGTCAAGGAAGGTTTGTAACTGATTTTCTTTTAGTGAGATTTGAGCTTTCTACTGTTCATTTAGGCTGGATGATATCTTTGAGTGCTTCACTTACACAGACGTATGACCCAGTGGCACCGATACCTCAAACGTCACCATGCATTATTCTCTCTCCTATACTCAGTGTAATCCTACTTAAAATAGCAACAAAGCATTATAATTCAGAAATAACCATGCAACCTAGCTACATTGTTATAAACTATAGTCTATTAAATAAAAGGCTATACAATACAATTACTTTATTATGTCTGATCATATTTTACCAGTTTTAACTAATAAAGTGACTAACACTCGCTAGTAGCACCACCTATTTGAACCAAAAATGTATAGCATTGCATTTGAGCTATCATAGCATCCCTAATAGAACTAACTTGAGCCATAAATGCCACAATTGAAAATACTGTATTCACAGCATATTTTCAAATGATCATGCCACATAAGCACACACTCAAATTGAAAAATACATGTATAAAACATATAGAAGAGGAAAGACTGGAGTATGCTCGGTAAAGAGGATGTTACAGGGTGAAGATCAAGCTGTATCGAGTAATGACAGGTTCGCAAAGGTTTGAGACAGAGCACAGAGAGGAGCAAGTTAACAAGAGTGCGTGACACACACACACCAAAGACTATATAAACAGCGTGACACACAAACACACACCGGAGACCATATAAACAACCAAACACCCATGCATGACAAGAAGAATAAGAGGTGAGGGACAAGAGGAAAAGTAAAGCATGTGTGGCTTGGATAATATTTTCACCCACATTGTGCCATTCTTTGTAATGGTGACTTATGTTCATCATTATAATGGTCCATCATAGACAACGTAAAAATTTTCTTCTGTAATGAAGGGCTTGTGATAACCTGTCTGATTCTGTGGGTTACAGGAATTGAGTTCAACAGCAGCCCATTTAAGATTTTGACACAACTTTTATAACAAAGTTTGAAATGTAGCACATCCCTTTTACTATACAGTGACACCTCGGCTTATGAATGCCCCGCCCCTATTTATGAACTTTCGGGATACAAGCCCAATTTCTTCAAAAAATTAGAATCGGGTTAAGAACTTTGCCTTGGGAAATGAGTTTGTTGATACGCGTATGGGCCAACCTAGTGCGTAGTGGCATGGGGATCGTGCCTCAGTTTACCAGTGGCTCCCACCAAGTGACAATTGCACCTAAATTCTTTGTAAAGAATTTCAGTACTTTCGGATTTTTGGGTATTTGAACATAAAAGTAATTATACATTGTGCCATGGGTCCCAAGAAAGTCAGCTCAAGTCAACCAGGAAAGTCAGTCATTCAACCTAAGAAAATAGTTGTGAGTAAAGGCAGTAGAGGATGTCCCTTCCTCATTAAGAAAATGTGTGAAGTATGGGAAGAACTGCAAAGTTCTGTTGAAAAAACTCACCCAGATAAAGCTGTAGCAGGCTGTTGCAAAAACCTTTTAAATGACAATGTGATGTCTTACTACAAACAAGGGTTAAAATGTAAGGAAAAACGAGTTCCTTTAGACAGATTCTTAGTAAGACAAGCAAGCAGTGAGCCACAAGCAGGTCCTAGTGGTATGTAGACAAAACATGCCAGAGAGTGCACCCCTGAGAGGTCATCACTGCCTGATGTTATAATGGAAGGGGATTCCCCTTCCAAACATTAACCTCTCCTTCTCCCCCCTTCTTATTGTCAATAGGAGTCATCGGTAAAAGTAAATAATAACTTGCATATACTTTAGTACTGAAGATTTGGGTGAATTAGGTATAAAATTTACTTTGAAGTTAATGTTTTTGAGAGTGTGGAATGGATTAATTCAAATTTACATTATTTCTTATGGGGAAATTCACTTCAGTTTACGAATTTTCGGCTTACGAACCATCTCTGCGAACGGATTAAATTCATAAGCTGAGGTACCACTGTATTTCCTATACAACCAAACTTAATAATGTAAAGGTGAAAATATTTATGAAGTAATCCGAGAAGAATATAAATATTCTGTGCTATGGAAAAATAAAGCATTAAAATAAGAAATTCAAAATAAAGCAGATTTATAATGAACAACTCCATTATAGATATCTGACAAGAACTAACTATAATAAGAAATAAGTCTAGAAAATCCATCACTGACAAAAACTGCATAAGCAACATCAAATAGAAGATGCAACAAGTTAAGAAGTTTGCATTCAAGCTTGTAATACAGTGTCTAATTTTTATTTGTATTTGTTTCAGTGTTTTTATATTTTATTTTGTCAGTTTTATTTGTATTTTTATTTATGGCAATGTTAATTGGTGTTTTGCAAGAATGTAGAGTTGTCTACGGTAAAGATTATACGAGTGTGATGTAGAATAACGTTATGGTGGTATTGTGTAGTGTTTCTTCTCTCCCCGACTCACACAGCTTACGGTTGGGCTGTGTAGTCCTCACAATCCTCCACTATCTTTACAACTTCCCACTTGAAAATTTTGTTTTCTAAATCAAAAAGTTTCGTAAAATCAAAATTAAGCGAGAAATTAATTTTGTAATAATTTGTTTTTGTTTTATTTTATATCTATGGTGTCTTTAAAAAACAGTAAAACTTACATATCCAAATGGCATACCTTGAAGATGTGGGTTAGTAAGCACAAGACTATTAGGAAGTTAAGAATACAGAGAATGAGTTTGTTTATAAAATGATAAACAGGGAGCAGGCAATTTGCTCAACCACCCAAGAGAATGTTCTAACTTCTGAAAGAAAGAAAGCAGTAATTATGACTTTGTAACATTTTCTTTTGAAATAAAATAATGTGACCATTATTTGTTTAGAACACAAGAGTATTTAATACAAAGTCTACCACCGAGAAAAATGCAACAGTATGGTTCACCTTATGGCTTCCCACAGAGTCAGGAAGCCTCTTAGTATTATCAAAGTCACCCTAGGCCAACTTCTCACCTTCCTCAGATGCTACCCACAACAGTTGTCTAGCTCCTGGGCACCTATTTACTGCTAGGCAAACACAGGCATCAGATAAAAGGGAACTTTAACCAAACACCTCTGCCTTGGAAATTGAACCCTTTTGGCTGTGACTACGGCACGTCCTACTGTACCACACAACTATATACAAATAATAGATGAAAAAGACTAAAAATAGCAAGCCTCAGTGGTAGACATAATGAAATGCTTTCTTAAGACGTACATGCACTATTAATAACGGTACAAATTGTATTCTTTATATTGTATGATATACAATTTTGCAAACATGAGACAGCGATAAAAGTGCTGTACGGTATAGAGAATATAGCCAAGAGAAAGGGCAGATGCAAAATTATGGACTACAATACTTACTCGACCCTTTGTGGGACTTTCATGGTCAGACAAGTCATTAGCTTTCAAAGCAGCTATGGCAAAAGGAGAATGGTGGGCGGGTGGAGTGGGCAACTTTCGGCGGGGACGGGAATCACTACTTTCCTGAGAGGATGAGAGGGATGCAAGAGGGGGCTTGGGTCCACGTGGAGACCCAAGAGCTGTTTTAATAGAAGCGTCGGAGGGCTTTGTGTGCTCGGCTACTTGTGCGGCCCACTGTCGAATCCAATTTGGACTGCTGCGGCTTAAGCTGCCAGGGCTCTGAGGGGTAACAAAATTACTCTATTTAAATGGCTCTGCCTAGGCCAAAAAACTTAAATCAATTACATCCAAAATTTACTCACTCACTGAAATTCTGCATTACTGTCATTTACCGTTACAGTCCTTGTGTTATTTAAACAATAATATATGATTAAGCATTAATATAAGCACCAGTTAAGCCTTAAACTGTTCTAATCACTAGCTGTGATTACATCCTGTGCTCCAATTGCCAAGTTTTTTAATTTATTTTGCATGAAGGCTTTTTAATTAGCCAAGCCATTTCAGAGTTAGGGAGATTCTTGGAATGATTTTTGTATCAGATATGTTTAAACATCTTAAAACTATAATTTATGCAGAAACAAATGCCGATACACAAGGAGTTATAAATTTAGACGAGTAATTATCAAAAGAAAGCATCAAACCAGAAACAAATTTACATAAACAAGATATGATTATTATGAGAAACAAGTGGGCATACAAACAGACAAATAGAATATTTTCTTGGGAGAAAGGAAAAAAAAAATCATGAGAAGATCGAGTGGAGAAAAGTCCTTGATCTATTTACTACTAGGATTGGTCAAGCATCAATTCTACCCTATTAAAACTAATACGATGAACTGTGAAAAAAACTCAAACGAATACAGTACTTTATTCCAAAAAAATTCAGTAACTACACGAGATCGTAACAGTGATAACACAACTAGGAGAGTACAAGCATGCAGTACAGATATAAAGGGTGTGAAACTTGTAGACCAAAAATGCAACTTTGCAAGAATTTCAACTAGCCACCATTTGCCATCAATTCAAATACAATATCCATGAAACACTTATATATTTTGATTTTATGATATTGTGAACTCGTATCAAAGGAAGGCCAAGTAAATAATACTACTATATAAAGTATTATATATATAAAGGCCTTATATACTAAGGCCAATATAAATAATAATAGTGTACTTGATAACATACCACACAGTGTTCACATTAAACTACTAACATGACTAAGCAAACCACTACATACCTACATCATTAATCAAATCACTGACCTTCTCTCTCTGTCCAGATTTCTCAAAGGAAAAATATATGTATTAAAGGACCAACCGACCAAAACAAAGCACAATTACTATTTCTATCTACATTAACAAACACCTACTTCCCCTTACAAACCTCAAAACACACCGAAGTAAAGCATACCAATAACGAACATTTCAAAATTTTGAGGACAGCCTTTCACCGACATTTCTAAAGAAATATATTCACTATTATGCCTAAAAATTAGTGTAAGCTAATAGTAAAATATTGACTATATGTAGAGTGAGGTGAAAGAAAATGAAGCCCACCCCAGGCGATACTCTCCTAGTGCCTCACAAGCAGCACCCCCATGCTCAGTGCTGGACACTTCTCTATGCTCAAGCATAGAGAAGTGAGCATCCCCTTCCCACACTCCTACAATGTAACAATGGCCATAACTGACAAGTATTACAAAAACTCATCAACAAAATGCATCAACCAACTGGTCAAAATTAATTGCTAGTCCTACACTAGAAAATATCCATTCACACAAGCCAAAACACATACAATGTACATACAAATTACATTGAAAATCCAGTTATATTATTCCAAACCCATTACAAAACTTTAAAATACTAAAACATTTCAAACACAGCATTTGTATTATTTTCCCCCAAATATTGGCCATTTTCCACAATATATTTTTCTGGGCCCACGAGCGTGCAAACTTCTACAGTCCTCAAACTAATAAAGAGGTAGACATTTGCTTCATTTCCACCTTTCCATTTATTTTGCATCCAAATTAATCATTCCATAAAAATATACAGCAGTTTTTTAGTAATTTTATTTGAGCATTGGCAGACATGCATGTCTGTATCGAGGCCACTAGAGATGGCGACCCTTGGGAAATTCAGGTTAATATAAACATTCAGTCGCCATATTTCCCACATTAGAATTGGCCATCACAAAACACTAGCATTGTCACACCAGCAATATACCTGCAGCAGCACTCCATAACTTAGTAGCACTAGATGTGAAATGCTTTCTGAGAGTTATAATTTAAAAACTTTTAAACATTGATTCGCATCTTCTTAACTCAAACAGCTTAATCCCTACTACGTTTCATGTGCTGTTCGCTTCCCTCTCTACTGCCCATTGTCTCTCACCTTTTCCATCCATTAGCTTCCTAACCTACTTCCTTCATATTTGTTTAAGTATAATCTCTTACCATTATCTTTGTTAATGGATTTGAACTCCAATATTCCTTTACTAGGGGCAATTATTAGATTATTAGTACAGGAAGTAAATCTGAATTTTGTGTTGTTCTCAGAATTTCTACCTTAAATTTGTCATGTTCAGGAGCAGGTGTCCATGGCTCTTCTGTTGGAGCGTTTCCTCGAGGTGTAACCACATCAACTTCACTCTCTGTTCCAGAAATACCAAACACTCGGTCAATGTCATTCCTGGCTTGCTCCACCTCTGGAGATGACGAATCTTTCTCAATAGTGTAGGTTCCAGCCTCACTCACATCATCCTGTGAATTGGAGACCAGCACAGTATTAGAGAAAATACATCCCAGTAAATCACTTAAAATTTAAAGCAAATAGAATTGACAAATAACAGTGACCTCCCTAAGACTACACATAAGGGGCATAACTGGTCGACCCCTCACAGTGTTCAAGAGAGAACTGGATAAGCACCTCCAAAGGATACCTGATCAACCAGGCTGTGACTCATACGTCAGGCTGCGAGCAGCCGCGTCCAACAGCCTGGTTGATCAGTCCGGCAACCAGGAGGCCTGGTCGACGACCGGGCCGCGGGGACGCTAAGCCCCGGAAGCACCTCAAGGTAACCTCAAGGTAAGGTAAGACCATCCATATGAAAAATAATACGTTCTCCTATACATTACTATAACATTAACTGCATTAATGCAAAATGTAAATGATATAATATTCACCTTCTCCTCTTTGCCTGCTTCACTCTGTACATCTTGCTTCACCTCAGAGGTGTGGCAAGTGCCCACACTATTGCCACCATTACTCTCTTTCCGGCCTTCTGGTGTCATTTTAACAGCTATCTGCACGTTGGAAAATTAAGATTTGTTCATAATTTTATTAATTTATTTGTTATTTTAATATAATATAATATTGATCAATAATTTCAATGACAAGTTGCAATCTAGAGTGTAAATGGAAACATGGGGTAAATAGGATGACAGAGTTTTGACGTGCCAACACCCACCTTACTGCCTTTCTCACTCTTGGCTCGGCCGGTGACTTCAGCAACTGTTGGTTTCTTTTCAGATTTGCAACAGGCTCGACCTTCAGTCTTACCAGGCTGTTTTCTGAAATCCCAGAATTTGTTGTTGCCTTAACATTTTTTATATTACAAATATTCTTTAAAAAACAAACTCTGCAAATAACCAACATATTTTATTGGTATATACTTTTAAAATTTACAGTATTGTCTTTAAAACGTATTATTGCAATGTGATGTTTCTCAAATGACAACCTTATCAATTTGAGACAAGGCCTACATAAAGCCACCTAATATGAGACACGCATACAAGTATTAAGTAGAGATTCACATGGTACGAAGATGGAAGCAAACCCTGAACACACTCGAGCATAAACCACCCCAGGATCTTTCATTATCTTAAGACAAAATAATTTAAAGAAGAAACTGATGACTGAAATGAAGAGTGAGAATGGACACACAAGCTAATTACACACAGAGGGAAAGAACACTCACACAGCTACTGAGGACACGTGTATTAAATTTCTGTGGACTACTGTATAGACAGTACTAAAGTAGTGTTGAAATAAACAACCACCAATCAATGAAAGATGTTCTTGGTCTTCTTTGGTTGCAGATCTTGCTATATAAACTACACAGTATTAACAAATATTCTTAAAAATACAATTGCATAGAAATATATATCCATCACTTAAGCCGTGGCAAGTCTTACTACAGTCACAATAAATGGCTTTGAGCAGAATTGTGTACAATATAGTACTGTTGTGTGTGTGTGTATTTGCAATTATAATTTAAACACACAGTCAATGTGCTTTGCTTGCAGCCAGGAACTCTAGTCCAAGCATATTGATAAATAAAAATATGATTATTATTTTAAAATGTGCCATGCTATCTGCTACCTTTGTATTGACTGCCACCATTGACATGAAAGATCCTACCTCATCCAGGTGGTCATTCACAAACAAGGAACAATAGCAACGCAAGTATCACACCCTGTGGAAACTGCTTGACACTTTCTTCCATCCTCAAACTCCCTCTTATTTCCATTTTCATTACAAGTAATATTGACAAAATTATCATTGTTACGTTTTTACAAGACATGATAATTCTGCCAATTAAATGAGCGTTGTAATAAAAATACATGAATATGCAGTGGTAATTTTAACAAATCTGCTTATTATTACCATTATTCATTTAAATATTAACAAATCTCAATAAAACTACTGTAGTAAAACACTACTGTGAGAATACAATTTGTTTGTACTCTCACAAACTCTCTTGTACTCTCACTGTCAGAGTTTGACACATGCAAACAGATCCAGCAAACTTTGTGTGGAGTTGCTAGTTATTGGGTAGTGTGTCAGGTATGTTACTTGACATCACACATCTGAGAGCTCATGGAATAAATCCTAAGGGACGGAATCATTCACCATCCTTCAGTGAATAATCTTGTGAAACTGGCACAACGTGGGTTTGTTAACAACAGATCGTGCCTTACAAACTTGCTCACTGCCAGAAACGCTTTGCGTAATAGTGGCTTTAGGTATTGTATGTACTAGCTCTATCTATAAATATCAAAATCTGTATCACCCCTTTTATGTCCTTTACCTAAATAAACATTTGATTTGATTTTGGGAAACGGTAACCAGCTACTCAGATAAAGGACTTCTGCTGGATGTAGTATACATGGATTTTCCTAATGCCTTTGATAAGGTACCACATGAAAAACTGGCAAAGAAATTACAGGTACATGAAATAAATGTAAGAATACTAGAATGAATAAAACATTGTTTAAAACAAAGCAAAAAGTCACTCCTCCAAGGAGTGCCGGACCAACTGGGCTGTGGTGGGTATGTGGGCCTGCGGGCCGCTCCAAGCCATAGCCTGGTGGACCAAACTCTCAAGTCAAGCCTGGCCTCGGGCCGGGCTTGGGGAGTAGAAGAACTCCCAGAACCCCATCAACCAGGTATCATGCTAAATGGGAATGAATCTGATTGGAGAAATGTGGTAAGTGGGGATACCACAGGGTTCCATATTGGGACGAACCCTTTCTGTCATATACATCAATGACATAGATGAGAATATTACAAACCACATCAAATTTGCAGATAAACCACAAAAATTGGGGAATTATAATTATATTGAAGCCTCACAAAGATCTACATGAACTCCACAAATGGTCAAAGATTGACAAATGCAAGATCCTGCATTTGGGGCATAACCCACACAACCACCAAATTAATAACATTACATTACAGCAGATTAATGAAGAGGACCTTGGAATCAAAATTTACCTCTCAATAAAAGTTGCACAGCAGGTAGCAGTAGTAGTCAAAAAAGCTAACCAAACCCTTGGAATAATCAAGAGTACCTTTGACTTTAAGGAAAAAAAGGTAGTGGTTCAGCTGTATAAATCTCTGGTGTGCCCCCATTTGGATTACTGAATCCAAGCATATCTTCCACATCTTGAGGAGGACATAGCTGCTCAGAAGAAAGTGCAACACCGGGCAACAAAAATCATTCCAGAGCCAAGTCAACTCACGTATCAGGAACAGTTGAGGGCTACAGGGGCAAAAAGCACTGCAAACCAACCAGGCATGACAGGGCAAATTTCATTGAAACTTAAAGTACCAAACAATTTGGAGGATGTTGATCCGGAAAATTTCTTTAAAAGCTCAGATGTAACACAAGCAAGGAGCAACGGTTTCAAGCTCAACAAACCACAATGTAGGACCGAGAACAGGAGATGCTTTTTCACCCACAGGGTTATAAACCCATGGAACTGTCTATCTGCCGAAGCTGTAAATCCCAAAATACTGTCACCATTTAAAGTACAACAGGAAAAGGTCAAGTCAAATGGGGGAGGGGGAAGGGACTTTCGACAAGTCACCGGCTTCCTGTCCTTGTTGAGGCCACTAGTGTTAGTGGCTCTCTGGTAAATTCCAGTATCTCCTTTCTTACCTCAGCCAGCTTCTTCAACTAGTGAATTAATGATCTGTGGGGGACAGTGTCGAAGGTTTCTTGCCAATCAAGGGAGATTCACTCTAACCATCTTTCCGATTGCTGCTGTATCTTCACTGTTGTTGAACCATCAGGTTTGTTAAGCATGCCTGACAGCTGAGTGGACAGTGCTTCGGATTCGTGGTCCTGAGGTTCCGAGTTCAATCCCCGGTGGAGGTAGAGACAAATGGGAAAAAAGTTTCTTTTACCCTGATGCCCCTGTTACCTAGTAGTAAACAGGTACCTGGGAGTTAGACAGCTGCTACGGGCTGCTTCCTGGGGGTGTAAAAAAAAAAAGGAGGCCTGGTCGAGGACCGGGCCATGGGGACGCTAAGCCCCGAAATCATCTCAAGATAACCTTATGAAGATGCCCAACCACTAAAAATGTATTGTATTGTATTTTTTATATATATACACACACACACACGCTGTTTATATAATGTTTTTTTCTTCACTGTCGAGGGAAGTTGAAAAATTATATATTTCATATTCTTCTCACATTGTAAGGCTCTCTTAGTACAATTGGCTTCATTTTTGACTAACAGTCGAGGATGCCTGGCAAGACAGAAATGGTTGGGCATGTTTCCATTCACCTAATGCCTCTGTCCACCCAGGAGTTAGGAAACCATAGGGTTGTATCCTAGGAAGGGTCAGTACTTGGCTGGGGAAAAGGGGACCTCAATGTAAGCCTGAAATACATATAGGCTTTCTGTTCCTAGCAAAACTAACGATTCACTCATTTTCATTTTCATTTTATTCCCTTTTACTCATCAGCAACATTTACTGGGGGGATTTCCATAAAACTAGAACACTAAACTTTCATTCCTTAAAATCTATTGTCACTTCCAAGTATGATACTTCCAAACCCGATTTATTCATCTCACATTCCACATAGCTTTAGTGGAACAAAATTTCGGGAAGATTAGTCCCCAGCCATAAAATACAGGACATGAGAAGTAAAGCTAAAAGGTTGGTATTTTAAATAAAAAAAAAGTTGTGCGCGTGTTGTGCCTGCAGATTTTAATGAAATTCATCCCTAAATGAAAAACTGTTAGGCAGCTTCACACACAACTTATATTAGTAATAGTTACGCATGTTTTTGACATTTGCATTTATGGCAGGTGGTGTAGTGATGCAGTAGAGTATCGGTATTCGAATTGACATTCCATTACACAATCGGCACCTCAGTTATTTACTGTTTAGAATTGACCAGATCAAGAAAGAAGTAAATTTGCATTTAATTAAAACATATAACCAGCTCCACAAAGTTTTATCAATGAGCGTTTTGTAACAGCAGTAAACGGCTTCTAAAAATGATAAACCCTCACCAAATAACCTTGAGGTGCTTCTGAATGAACTAAAACATCTACTGCCAAGCAAAAAATTCACTTATATATGATTGCTGTGAGCAAAGCTTGAGCAATAATGTTCTGTAACTAAAGCTTTCTATAGCACTATTCTTGCATTTGCAGTAAGGAGCATCTGCTGGGTAATCTCGTCAGTACTTTAGCTTGGGTGAGCATTGGGTCGTACCTCTGGGTCTCTGGGGTGTTGTTCATCAACTTCTCGATCAAGTAGGAGGCCGATTCGTTGAGGGTCATGGCGTGGGAGGTCCTGCTAACATTATCTGGGCTAGGAGTGTGCATCCTGGCGGGAGACGTGATACTGGTGTCAGCGAAAGCAGTCTCCTGTTTGCTAGTTGCAGATCTACTACCTTTATGTTAGTTCACTCTGCATTACTGTGAATTGAGGCTCTACTATTAGCCTTCCAAACAATTAGCTCACCTTATTCCTCTTATTAGCGCAAGTCAACTGAAGTGGGTTAGTACTTGAGTGGTTATTCAAATTTTCTTGACACTAAAACTATGATTAACATTTCCATCCACCAAATAATTACTGTATGTCACACTGCCATGTAATCATAGATCGTGGGCGAAGAATGATGAAGAATGTCAACACGCTTGGTGTCACGTTCTTGCTCAGTGCATCTGCGTGGTGTAAGTATTTTCAAACGTGCAATATTTCCACTGCTTCGTGGTTTGTGAGTGAATAAAATACATGCTCATTCCAGGAGTTAAGATATTTTAGTTACAATTATTAAATTTTAATTTTTACTAAAGAGAAGAGTTATACAAGTAATATTTGTGTTTCAAGGTAATCATGGAAAAGTGTGCCTAGCTTACTGTTTCACTTGGAGAGCCTATGTTCATAAACAATGCCAAAACATGCTACATTCAACACACACAAGCAAAAGACACGGAACTAAAATGCATAGAAAGGAATAAAAAAAAACATGATTTGAAATACAAAAATTAATACCATATTTCTTTTGTGCAAAACTCAAAATTAACAAATGGTATATTCAAAGGCTAAAAGAAATATGAGCATAAATTAAACTAAATAATATAGTGTAGTAATCAGTGGCATAGCCAGGGGTCTAACATTTGTGGATGGCAACATGAAAAAGTGCCACCCTGTATACAAACGTTTTTCCAGTCTCAATATTTAAATTTTATTTAAATTGCAAACATTTTGAATCAATGAACCTGTTACTTTGTATTTGAAAAGAAGTTCTCTAGTAAATTCATGCATTTATTTTCCTAATAACGCTAATCCTTAAAGTGTGTGCGTTATTAACTTATCGTATATTTCATAAGTACCGTACAGTGGAAACAATATGAATTATGTATGAAGCAAATACAACCGCCTCTTACATAGGCTTCATTCTAATAAATTAATAATTAATTTATCATATTCCACATCAGTAATTATCTTACAATTGAGAGCAAAACTAACCCAGAAAACCATGTCTACATCCATTGTTGAGGGCAGGAAGACTTTTACGAGTTCAAGTCGGCTAAAGGATCATTTGACAGCTGCACTACTTATTGGCAAGCTCAGCAGAAACAAAGTACAATGGCAAGAGAATGAACACAAGCCAGTAGGAATCATGAATTTAAGTACTGTACACTGTTGATGTCATTTTCAACACTTGAGTTTGCTATAATCCTAGTGCTTATTATCTTTTTGTACACATATTTAAACTATTTAGCATGGGTGGTACACAACCGAGGGGACATACTGGTAGATGGAAATAAGTACCTGAATGAGCCACTGGGGCAAAAAAAAATTCCCAGAATCAATAGTGAACAAATAACAAGAATTTACAATAGAACAGCAATGCACACTAAGAATGTTAGTGTAGGTATGAAAGAGCCCAATAAGTTCTGAAACTTGTACACCAGTCAGTGAAGGAGGCGAGACTTATCAGCCATGGCTCATCCTCTGCCAGGGAAACACATCCCTGCATATACATTTGCACATGCATGTGTTAAGATTTAACACGCATGTGTTAAGAGCCCCTGAGTTAGGTGCTGAACCCCCCCACCCCCTGCCCTGGACATCTCCTCTACATTTCTCATGGTTTGACCACTGATGCCTTAATTACATATTGTACAAATTAACCCTTATTTCTTACTGCTTTATCTAATGGCTTTTGATCAGTGTCTTTATAATCATTATGTCAACATACAGTATTAGCTTAATAAAAAAAAAACAGTATGTGCTCAGTTGCTGCCATTGCTCCCACTCCCCCAGCTATACCACTGCATATATGCAATAGGTGAATGCAAAATAAAATTGTCAATAGACAGCCATCAAGAGACATGAGGTTGCACCTTACCATGAGTTGAATGCTTGGAGCTGTCATAGTACAAATAAGGATGTATGGTACTGTAACATGATTTGTAATTTGAAAATTACTCAATCTGATTACAATGGAAATATGTACGGAAATATATCGCCAACACTGCCGTCTTCTAAATTCTACAAAATACATTTCTAGAAATTATATACCAGTACTGAACAGTATATGAACAGACCTGAGACTAGTCCCTTTAGCAGAATCTTGTGAAGATGATCGAACTAAGCGTTGGGGCGTCTGCGGGGATTGAAGTTCCGGTGTGCGAGGAGATCGTGGAGATTTAAGTTCTGGAAAGAATTAGCAGAATTGCTCTTAGATTTCCACTAAGTTTATTGGTAAATGAAACATTAGTCACTTTTAATACTGTACACAAATATAAAGAATAGAGGAGTACTGTACAAGGAAACAAACAATGTGAACAAGAACAGCTTAATAACATGATAAAAGTAGAACTAGAAGACAGATGGAAACTGGAAATACGATAAAGTAAGAATTTAAGGAAATACCTTTACCATGTATAATGGTCAAGTGCAAAAATTGAAAGTAGAAACCACCTCTATCCACAACTTTAAAATGAGATACAACAAATCATATGAATATGAGGGAAAGTTAAAATATAATGCAACAGGTACAATAAGGCTAATAGGAAGGGCATAGAAAACTAGATTTGCCTTCCACAGTTATGATTAGGCAAATACAGCAAAGTTGGCACTATGTGCAAAATATATTTCACGAAGTAAATCAAGTGGGCTTAGCTAGCATTGTTATACAAGGCAACTCCTTCCAGATAGATATATATATGTATGTACTGTATAAGCAAATCAGTAACATTAACTGGCCAATTATTTTCCCCCTCCCTGCCTACAAGTTCAAATAAACAACAAAACTATTTATAGTGCATGTTCCCTTACGTTTCACCAATTAACACTAACATCTGTATTATTATTAACACTATTACTGATTCCACCCATAAGAAACCTTCGTGTACGGTCACAAGAAAGAAATGGTTTCTTAAATTTCATGCGAGTTGTGCACTGGGATGAAACACCAAGCAAGACACTCAGACAATACAAGTCTACGTAACACACCTACAGCCAGTATGTTGTTACTGTACAGTATTTGATCAAATTATTTATGGACTTCTATTAATTTAAAATAAGTTCAGTGAGTAAATCTTTTAATAATTATTTGAAATATATAGTATTTGTTTTACTGTACAAGTGAATATTTTTAAATCTAACTTGGCAAACATTAGCAAGAGGTTACCATGATGATGTTAGACCACACTAACAAAAACACTCTTTTCTTTCAATTTTTAGAAACATTTCCTATTAAATATCTGGTACCTGTCCATAAGAGAACAACTGCTGCACAAAGATATACATTGTTTTTGGCCATCCCTATGCAGTCTCCTCCTTATTTCCCGTCTCGGGACCCAACTAACCTGTTCTTCGAGGCACCTCGTCGTCTTGGTCCGAGGAAAAGTAGCCCTCTGAATGATAACCACCACCACGCCGCCCCTGCTGGAGACCAGTGGCTCCAATGGTTCCACTCCTAGGTCGACCAACAGGGGGCTTACCCGAGCGCTCTTCCACTTTCTGTAATAACAAGTAACAGTTAATACACAATTCATCATTGGCACACCATTTATTAACAGTTAATACGGTATAATCGAAACTAGTTAAGTATTCATAACAATGATCAACAGAGTCAAAAAGTTGCATCATCTTCACACATACCCACACTAATGAAGTGGCTAATATTTACAAATAGTTTACAAGTTGACAACATATGCTTTCTCATTAAACATTAAAATGCCTAAAATAACCACAAGACAGACGTCTAACAAAAAGTGCCACCATGTAATAGAAAGTGGGGAGTCATCCTTTAGTTAGCCAAGAACAAACACTTCATATTAGTATTGTATGCATTTACAAAAAGTTTTATGAATCTCACGTTTTATTATTTACGTTCCATAGAAAGGAGGACTTAAAAGTTTACAGAAAGACATACCTGTACTGTGCATTCATCATCTAAAATATTTATTTACAAACATGCAGTTGTAGGAAGCCAACACGTAAGCTGCATTATCATCATAATTTAATTAGTGCTATATCAAGCCCCTAAAAAACTATTACATGAAAATATTAAAGCTTAAAGATATATAAACAATTATGCATATACAGGACAGTTTTAACATTCAAGCTAAAATTGTGGTCACAAATACATGTTCCAAAATACCTCCAACTTAAATGTTTAGTAATATCTCGACACTGAAGACAGGAAAGTTAGAATGAAAGCCTTCCAGCTTAATGTTGTGTGTATTTACCATTGCGTAGTTTCAGGATGGGGGCTACACTCGTGGAGTCCCAGCTTCCCAATTCTCTGTCATGGATTGTCAATTCTCTGTAGCTTTGAAACTACAGACAGTTTTGGTCTCCACCACCACCAGGTCGCTCCAAGCAACAGCCTGGTGGACCAAACTCGCACAAGTCAAGTCTGGCCTCGGGCCGGGCTTGGGGAGTAGAAGAACCCCCAGAACCCCATTAACCAGGTATCCACCAGGTATCACCACATTTAGCTTGTTCTAACCACAGCATATACCATTCTGTTTGCAACAGTGAACTTTTGTAATTTTTTTGGCAACTCCATTTCCTTAGTTTGAACCTACATCATCATTATCTTGAAGTTGCCATTTTCAATTATTCTTTTAAATTCTGTCAATTTCTGTTACTATTTTGGACGTAGTGATCATATCACCTCTTTCTCTTCTATCTTCTAGCTTTGGCATATTTAACACTTCTAATCTCTTCAAAATTCTTGCTTTTTAGTTTCAGAGGTCATTTAGTTGCATGTCTTTGCACCTTTTCCAATTTATTGATGTGCGTCTTGAGATATGGGCAACATACAACCACTGTATATTCCAGTTTTGGTTTCACAAAGGTTGTGATTTTTTTGTTTAATATTTCACCAGCCATATAATTAAAATAGATTCTAAAATTAGAATGCATATCATATGCTCCTCACAATGTTTTTTATGTGGTAGTCGGGCGAGAGCTTTCTCCCCATAACCATCCCTAGATTTCTATCAGAATTTTTTTGTAAATTTTCACATAATTTGTAGGTTATGTGGGGCCTGTTATCTCCTATTCCACATTCCATGATGTGGCATTTATTCGCATTAAATTCCACTTGCCATGTATTACTCCAGACACTGATTTTGTCTAGGTCGTCTTGTAGGGCATGACGATTGTCTAAGTTTCTAATCTTGCCTAGAAACTAAGACTTGTTAGAAACTAAGTAGATTTGTTACACAAGATCTTCCATTTGAAAACCACACTGTCTGTTAAAACATCATTTTTCTCGAGATGTTCTGTCCATTTGATTTTAACAATTATATTTTCTAATGCTTTGACTACTACGCTTCTCAATGATACGTGTCTAGAATTAAGAGGGTCTACCCTGCTACCATTTTTGTAGTTTGTAACTATGTTTATCTTTTCCATATATCTGCCAAAACTCCTGCTGTACACAAAGATGTGCATGCACACACACACACATGCAACATGCACAGTATTACTGTATTAATATATAACAAATTAAAGCCACACAATAAGCAGACTGATCTTGAGCATATGAAATTTTCTAAAACATGTTTGGGTTGTTGGAACAAACAAAATACAGGGGTTGCACTAAGTAATATTTACAAAATGGTAAATTCCCCAACAGCTGATACTTGAAAACCCCATGTACTGTATTGACAGTACCCAGCAGCAAATAATGAAATTTGTCGCATTCTAATGAACCTGCAAATTCATATAGTTAACTCACATAGCACCAGGATTTAGGATACTGCTGGGGATAATCACATTTTATGAGAAGTGTTAATAAATTTAAATGAATCGACTTGAGAATGGTCTAGGACGGTCCGAAACGTCGGCGTCCCTTCACCTTCTAGTGTGTGGTCTGGTCAACAAATTTAAATGATATTTGCTTGTTGCATTCTTGTGCCGGGAGAACAAGTACTGTATTCTTACTCCTATTCTTCTCAATTTGATAATTCATTTAATTTTGCCAAAATTGAGAATTATGGTCAAAACATATTTTTGGATATTGCAATGCAAAGAATTACTAAAAAAAAGTTAAAAATAATAAATGTAATTAGATCACTTAGCAGTTTCAATAAATTAAAAAGCTAAAACTCCCTTCCAAATTTACATCATTGCTTGACATCAATAGACATCAATTATACAAGACTACATAATACAATATTTAGAGTAACCACCTTATTAATTCTCTCCATGGTTTTTGAAGAACTAAATCAGGTTTTACAGCTCTATTTCTTTTTATACCATTTTTAATTTGATAGAATATTGTACAGTACAGTAAACAGTATATCTTTATTTTCAGAAAGCATTTAAAAAAATTACTCATTAAAAAATAAACACATGATATAGATAATCAAGTATTAAGTTTATTGTGAAGTGGTTACCTAGAGGCAAACCATATGTACTGAACAGTAGTACTAAGTGTTAATGTGTTGAGTAGATAAGTGCCACACCAAACTCTCACAAGTAATGAACACTGTGTGAACATCAGAGGTCCACGGTTGTTCAACGTCCTACCAGCAAGCATCACAAATATTACAGGAACAACCGTGGACATCTTCAAGAGGAAACTAGATTGCTTCCTCTAAGGAGTGCCGGACCAACCGGGCTGTGGTGGGTATGTGGGCCTGTGGGCCGCTCCAAGCAACAGCCTGGTGGACCAAACTCTCAAGTCAAGTCTGGCCTCGGGCCGGGCTTGGGGAGTAGAAGAACTCCCAGAACCCCATCAAGCAGGTATCAACCAGGTACCACAGGGGTTAGTCTTGCAACCAGTTTTCTTCACTTATACAAATGATGATAATGCCTTATGGTGTCCAATTCAAAAATGTGTTTATGATGCTCAACTAGGAAGCTGTGTTGCAAATACCAAAAGAACAACAGACTAAGAACCAACTTGAATTAATCGAATGATCTAACAAATGGTGGACAAGTTTTAATGCAGATAAATACCGTATAAATATATTCCATATCATAAAGAAAACATGAAAGAAGTTACTGGATGAACAATATAGATAAAATAAGATAAACCTATTCAAAAGAGCCAACTTTATTCAATCTTGAAAGGAGAAGACTAAGAAGCAATTGAATACAAGCATTTATTAAGATCATGACAATTTTGATTCGGAGAATTTCAATTATTTAAAATATTAAACAATACATATCAAATCACTCAAACCTTTTCACTCCAATGAAGCAAAATACTGTGTCTTTAATATAATACACATATGGAACAAGCTTGCTTAATTATACAATTCAAGGCAATACTAAATATTTTGAGCAAGATAAGGCAAGTACTGTTCTTAAAATCTACCCTTATACTGTACCACCCAAGATTTCCTTAAATAAAGCCTAGTTTGGATCTAACAGTACGCATGTTTAATTCCTTTGAAATACAGTACTTTGTGTAACTTAAATCATCAATCCCTAATAGAATGAGCTTTGTCATATTTCTGATGTGCATGTCCTGCCTCCGTTAAAATAAAAATGAGACCATACTGCAACCGTGTTATCACACCGAGCATCCTGGCCATACTATGTACAGTATTTTACAAATTCCTATACTGAACTGTATAATCCGTTCCCAAGTGCAAATACTGAAAACGTTCTCAATATTATTTGAACATTGATATACAGTATAAATAACTATAAAATGCATAAAGAAATGCAGTACTGTACTGTATAATCACAAATATATCATAACTCTGGATATTAAACTAGCAAGTGCTAGGTGGAAGCACAATTACCAGTCTCTCTACTATGCCTAATACAGTACAGCACTATTTGTACATCTCGGATAAAAAAATTACTTTGCGCTTTTATACTGTATTACATTTTCTACAATTCTATCAGACAAGCATTTTCAAAACCAAAACATTTGAAAAACGTTTTGAGGATGTTACCAGGATTTTGTAATAGAACCTGCAGTGGGTTAACCAATACTGTACCACACATGGGGGAGCCGGTTGGCCGAGCGAACAGCACACTGGACTTGTGATCTTGTGGTCCCGGGTTCGATCCCGGGCGCCGCGAGAAACAATGGGCAGAGTTTCTTTCACCCTATGCCCTTGTTACCTAGCAGTAAAATAGGTACCTGGGTGTTAGTCAGCTGTCACTGATACAGTACAGTATTACAAATATGATTTAATAGACTAGTTAAATAAGAAAAATGTTCCATCAGAGATGATATATTTTTAGCTACAAGTTATTAAAAGTGACAAATTATAGGGAAAAGGTTCAAGTAAAGGTCGTGGTAGTACAGTTGGGTTCGTTCTTGACTCTCAGTCCAGAATTCCGGGTTTGATTCCCAGGCACAACAAATGTTTGGGTGCATTTTCTATCACCTAATGCCTCTGTTCACCTAGCAGTAAGTAGGAACTCGGGAGTGAGTCGGCTTCTTGTGGGGTTTCATCCTGAGCGGGGTCAGTAATCTGACTTTGGGATCTTGGTATAAGCCTAATGTGTATGAATACGCACTGGCTTCCTGTCCTCAG